TGATTTCGAATAGCTAGGCGTGCAGCAGCATCGCGAGTCTACCACTGTGAGCGTTCGAGAGCGGTAGCATCGTCAGCGGGAGCAACGGCAGTGCCAGACACGTAATCGAACAGTGAAATGCCGTCTTTGGCATCAGTCAGAAGAAACAGTTGGAGATCGTCAAGCCACGTGGCGAACTCTATCGGGCGACCGTCAGGCTCAAACGCGAGAACATTAAGTGTTGCCATAATCGCAGTGCAGGCAAAGGCAGTAGGCAAAGGCAGTAGGCAGCAGGCAGAAGGCAAAGGGCGCGAGCAGCAAGGGCGGCGCTCAAAGCAGGCGCAGGCAGCTCAGGCAGCACGCGGGGCAGCAGCAGGCCGCGCACAGGCGGCAGAGGCGCGGCTCGAGCAGGTAGGGCGACGCGCGTGGCTGCAAAGGGCCGCGCGCGGGCTGTCAGAGCGCGGCGCGGGGTGCGCGGATGGTGCGCGGGGCAGCTGCGGGCCGCGCGCGCGCTGCGCGGGCTCGGCGCGGGCTGCGCGAGCGGTGCGCGGGGCAGCTGCGGGCCGCGCGCGCACTGCGCGGGCTCGACGCGGGCTGCACGGGCGGTGCGCGGGGCGCGAGGCGGCTGCCGAGGCGCGACGCGAGCAGGGAGGGCGACGCGCGGGGCAAAAGGGGGGCAGCGCGTGGGAATTAGGTCTGCGCGCGCGAAGCAGCAGCAGACAGATCAGACAGCAGGCAGTAGGCAGCAGGTAGACAGTGCGCGCAGCGCAGCACGTCCTAGGCACAGTCACAGTCACAGTCGTGGGGTAGCGATAGGTGGGCCCGAAAAAAAAGACGGTCCTACGGACCTACTGCTCTGAATACCATGTTAGAAGTCCAGGCAGGAATTAATGAACTAGGAAAGTGTTGGGTACAAGTATGAAACCCTAAAAGGGGCTGTACCCCATGTTGGCTACCCCACTACAGCCTAAACATATATATCATACATATAATTTGACAGGTTAAGACAAGGATTCATACACAAAAAACACACAAAGTGACGGTACGCTTGCCGGAAAGAACGGGGACTTGGGGCACGGTTTTCTCCTTGAAGACGATTTACGGTGGAATCCTCAACCCTCCAGCCGTTACTGCCAACATGGCAGTAACGCATTCATCCTCGTATCCCGCAATCCTCACATAAACCGTCCGCGCTCCCTTCATCTCGATGGTTCGTTTCGCGGGCATCTAAAAAAAAAGCGGAGTCTAGTCCGCGTTCACAGTTAGATCCAGTGGGTAGTCGTGGAGAGTGCGCATCTAGCGCACAACTCCCAGAACTACTCCACTTTGGAATTGCATTTTGCAAACAAAACCAACGCGCGCATTATAATCAAGACTTTTGAGGATATGAGCTTTTTCAAACAAATATACTAATCTGCTAGCAACTTCTGTCCCATCTTAATCTTTACCCGCCTTGCCAATGCCCACCGCGCGCGGAAACGAGTTAACCAGCGGAACGATGCGCGCCAGTTCACCCATCTTCTTCTAGTCGCGTTGCTGGCAGGGTTTCACCTTCGCCAACTTTGCCAGTGCTCAAATGGACAGATTGGACTACGTATCGTGCATCTTAAACCAGTGCAGCTTCTCTTTCGCTGTGTATGCATGACAACTGTGTTTCGTCATGCGATATTGAGGAGAAGGCTGTCCAACATCCGCATTTCGCTTTGGTGGCCCATGTGGACGACTAGACCGCAGGAATGTTGGGGCCTTGACTCGAGGAAGTGTAGCTCGAGGACGATTGCCAGAGGGTTCATACTGGCTAGAATGACTAGCGATAGGAGCCGGAGTGGGTGACGTTTGTGGCAAGATGGGGCAAGGCGAGAGCCGTAGGTGTGCAGCAACATAAAGAATGAAGGGACGCTGGTATAGTCATGTGAAGTCGCCATGCGACTACTACAGGTTGATGTCAAATACTATGGCAGTAGTGTTTTTAAACCTAGGATGAGAGAGATTGAATGCACTCACAGTTAGCCGAGAAAAAAACAGTCTCGTGTACACGAGCTGCTATAGGGTAGAGGAGACATGTTCGAGGAGGAGGGACTTGACCGATGCGGTGACTAGAGGGTATTGTGCCACATTCCTTGCCTTGGACCATCCATGGACCCTTGTTGAGGGGTCCTTTTGGCGCGTTGTTCATTGTTCATGGGCTGTCAAGTCCCACTTTTGGTCCACGTTTTCGTCGTATACTCGGACTCACGTGTGTGAACAAACTTCGAAAGGTGATTTGAGAACGCTGAACATGTTACGTATCATTTCCACTAAAATAAAAATAAAAAACGTGTCATATATGTGCACCCGGGTGGTATGTAGCTTTTTCTTTTAAGAAGACCCACCCCCTTTTTTTAATTGTTCAGGGGCTGTCAAGTCCCACTTTTGGTCCACGTTTTCGTCGTATACTCGGACTCGCGCGTGTGAACAAACTTCGAAAGGTGATTTGAGAACGCTGAACATGTTACGTATCATTTCCACTATATAATGGAGGAGAACGGGGCCACTCACCCAAGTCGGTGAGCAAGTAGGTCAGCCAGCGTAACTCCTGCGCAGGTTAGTCATGAGGTCGGCTACAGTGGTGAAGTCAGACAGCTGAGGGAAGAGAAACGACAGTGGAAGAGGGCCTAGGGTGGCAGAAGAGGGGGAGAAGTAGCGCCTAACTACAGCGTCATATAGAGCCTTGGCCGACTTCACCTAGAGAAAGTGGGGTCGCTGGTCGGGCGGGAGGTGAGCGCGGACTCACGATGGGTGGTGGCGTCACGTGCGAGCCATTGCAAGCAATGCGGTTAGTTTTAAACTGCTGTCGCAGAGTCTCGGTAGCGGTAGGGCCAGGGTCAGTCGGCTCAGGTGGGGTAACGAGGGACCCCGACGTGTGCTCAAAGAGGGAGACACTGTCTGTGGTAATGCTAAGCATGTACAGGTGAAGGTCCTGCAACCAGGACTCAAAGTCGATCGGGCGTCCCTCTGGGTCAAAGGTAAGCATTGTAACAGTCGCCATGGCAGGCAGTGTGGCGCTGCACGGCAGTAGGCAGGGCAGCACGGCTCAGCAGCAGTTAAGTCTGCGCGGTTCGATTGCAGCGGGCAACAGCAGGCGCGGCTCAGCAGTGTGGCATGGCTCGGTTGCTGGCGGCACGGCTGTGCGGCACGGCTCGGCACGGCTCAGCAGGGCGGCGAAGTGCGGCGCGGTTCGACAGGGCGGCGCGGCGCGGGAGGGCGGAGCGGCGAGGCGTGGCAGGACGGCGCTGCAAGAGGCAGCGCGGTGGCTCGGGCAGTGCACTGGCTGCAGCAGGCCTGCAGCGAGTGGTGGCGCAGACCGATGCACGGGCTGCAGCGGGCCAGCAGGCTGCAGCTGGCGGTGCGCAGGCTGCAGCGCAGGCGGCAGCGCAGCAGCAGCGCGATGGGGCAGCGCGCGCAGCAGCACGGGCGGCAGCACTGCAGCGTGGCTGCGCGGGGCAGGGCGCACACGGCAGCGGGGCTGTGCGGGGCAGGGCGCGCAGGGCAGGGCTTTGCGGGGCAGCGCGTGCGAGACCTGCGCATGGGACGATGCAGGCCAGCGCGTGCGGGGCAGGGCAGGGCAGGGCGGGGCAGCGCGGACGCGCGGGGCAGGTCAGCGCGTGCGGCAGGGCAGCACAACAGCGTGCAGGGCAGGGCGACAGAGCGGGGCAGGGCAGCGCGACTGCGCGCGGGGTATTGCGTCAGTGCGGGGCAGGGCAGAGCAGGGCAGGACGCGGCCTGTGAAGGGCAGCGCAGTGCGGGGCAGGGCAGCGCGGCGCGGGGCAGGGCAACGCGTGGTGCTGGGCAGCTCGCAGGGCAGGGCAGGGCATGGCAGGGCGTGGCCTGCTAATGAGTGGGAACGTAGCTAGCTCGGATACCGTGTCAAAAGTGAACAGCAGAATGATGAACTAGGGTAAGAGGGAGGTACATATACGAACCCTAACAAAGTTGTACTCCCTACAACTGACCTCACTATAGTCTTATGATTTGACAATAAGACCCTCGGGTGGTACAGTATATCAGGGTGATAAAGGTACTTGATGTGTTGTTCATTGCTGTAGAGTGACGCAGACTGGTATGAGGTCGTCCCCATCTTTCGAGGAGAGCAGCTTTTAGACACTCAACCAGGGATTTCAGTGGAAGCAACGAGAGTAATACATAGTCTGTTTGTAAATGGCGTTGTAGAGGCAAGGCAAGTGTGCCTACTAGCGGTTAGATTGTTCACTGCTCTTCAATTACTAATCCAGACATTAACAAGCAGGGCTAACTTTAGTAAAATGACCCGTCTGATGTCAAGACCGGGTCCTGGCTCCTTGTCTGATTGTCAGACCAAAGCTGTAACATTGTCTAGCTTTTCAGACGAATCCTAAATACTTGTCTGAGATTTCCGAGAAGATAGCTAGCAAGCCATATACGATCATATAAAAAATAGGAAAATGAGGTACCAGCCTTAATGGTCCAGCCAGTAGAATTGGGAGTTGTGAAGACTGAGATTTTCTGTTCAAATCTTGGCACCTGCTTCTGCCAGGCAGGTGCAGACATCTTTCGAGAGTTTTGCCTTCAGACGAAAAAGACTCGATATCTGCACTCTCAGACGAACTGTATGAGGCTGTCTGATAAATCAGATGAATAGAAAAAGCTTCTCTTATAAATCAGACGAAATTAAACAGCATGTCTACGACATCAGATGAACCAGTAAAAATGTGTTCAGAATCCAGAAAATCAGACAAAAAATGTCTGATAAAGTAAGCCCTAACAAGCCTGATTGAACCTTGGAAACACATGCATTGGACATTACACCTAGACAGTGAATCGATTTTTTTACCCTGCCACTCTCAGTACCGTATTTAAAAAAAAATAGGCAGTATTTGTAAGACTTAGAAAGATTTTACCCTAGCAATCAGGGTTGGCCTGGCTGAAACCCTGACTAGCCAGGGTGGCCCAAAACCAATTTTGGGCCCTGCTCATGGCTATCCTGCCCTGGCCTCCCTGTCTCTCTACCAGTTGCCTCGCATCTCCATGGCATTGCTGCCAGTGGTGACCTTGTTGGCCTGAGTGCCTGTCGACCCATAGTACCCTTGCGTTGTGGCTCGGGAGAATTCAGCAAACGAGCAACCAGGCTTCCACCGGTCCTCTAGGCTCGGCACCACCGAGCCTATTTCACGTGCAGTGGCATGGAAAGCACGGGCCTCTTGCCAAGTGCAGGGTGTAGGTGCAGCGGTGGTGTAAAAAGCATGGGGAGGAGGTGTGAGTGAGGGAGTGCAGAGGGAATATGGAGACGTTGATGGGAGGGAGGAAAATGGGGAGGAGGAGAAGGAGAAGGAGGAGGAGGAGGAGGAGGAGGAGGAGGAGGAGGAGGAGGAGGAGGAGGAGGAGGAGGAGGAGGAGGAGGAGGAGGAGGAGGAGGAGGAGGAGGAGAAGCGAGGAAGGCCATGTATGACATCACAGGGCAGGAAGCCAGGAGGAGGGGAGAGGGGCAGGTGCCAGGGGGGCTGGAGGAACACTGCAAGCATGTCACGACTCCACGCACACGCGGGGTGGATGGCACGCGCTGAACAGGGAGCAGCCTCCCCACTGCGGCCGTCACTAACCCTTGCACTGCCTTGAGGTGTAAATTCCTCCTGAGCATGAAAGAGCTCAAGAGCCTTTCCAGGCACCGTTTGCATGGTTGTCTGCGTAACAGCTCCTGACCCACCTGATGTGCCCCCCTCACTACCTGACGCCACACCACTACCTGATAACACTGCATGATTTGTGCTCAGCGCCTCGCCTGCCCCTCCTGCTGCTGCAGCCCCTGCCCCTCCTGCTGCTGCAGCCCCTGCCCCTCCTGCTGCTGCAGCCCCTGCCCCTCCTGCTGCTGCAGCCCCTGCCCCTCCTGCTTCTGCTTCTCCCCCAGCAGCGTCACCCCACCCTCCTGGTCGCACCACGCAGTGCACAGCAGCTCTGAGGCGACCCCCTGACAGTACCTGAGCTGCCTCGCCCACCTGCACGGCCACACAGCGCGCTGGTAGCTCCACACGTACAGGTGAGCGGGAGAGTGGGTCCCATACGTGCAGACCGGCTGTGGCCGTGGCAACGCTGGCACTGCTGCTGGTGGCGGTGGTGCTGCTGGTGCTGGTGCTGGCGTTGCTGCTGTCAGTGGCTGTGGTGGTGAAAACTTCAGAAGTGACTCGAGAAGCTGCTGTCGATGCAGACAGGTCAGAGGAGGAAGCCAGGGAGGCAGTGGCGAGAGGGCAGGCGAGGTGGAAGTCAGAAGGGGAGGCAGCAGGCACATAGAGGGGCGCAACAAGGGCAGTGAACAGGCCGTAGTCGTAGTGCCACTGCTGCCACAGGGGCACGTGGGATGGGAGAGACGAGCTGCATGGGATGGAGGCGCGTGAAGGGCCTTGCCTGGTTGTGGTGGCCCCTCGTGAGTCCATAGCAGCACGACCCTCAGGGGGTTGCGCTGCCCTTACCCTCATACCATCACCAGTACCATCAGAGTGATTTGCCTCCTCCTTTTGTTTTTGCTGATGATGCTTCTCTTGCTGCTGTTGCTGGTGGTGCGTGTGCTTGTGCTTGTGTTGCTGCTGGTTTGGATCTCGTCTTTGCACATGTTTTCGGCCCACCTCTTCTGACTCCTCACTCAACACACCACACCGTCCCACATGCCCTTTTCTTGTCTCGCCTCCCTTCTCCCCCTTTTTTCCCCTCACTCCCCGCACATGCTCACACACAGGCCACAGCCCAACTTGCCCCACCTGCCCGCACCCACTCTCATCCCCGCCCCGCCTTCCCTTCCGCCTCCTCCCTCTCTGCTCCACTCCACCACCCTCCCACTCCAGTTCCCCCCATGCATGGTAGTGAATCAGCCGCGCCTTGCCTGTGCCCCCGACCATCGCCTCCACCAGACGCACCTCCCCTCTCTCCTGCTGCTGCTGCTGCTGCTGCTGCTGCTGCTGCTGCTGCTGCTGCTGCTGCTGCTGCTGCTCTTCTCCCCACCTTGGCTCACTCTCAAAGCCACATCCAGCAGCACCACCATCACTGCTGCTGCATGCACAGCAAACCGCACCTTGGCCTGCGGGCAGTGCAGCAGAGCCAGGAACAGAAGCAGCAGCAGAGGGCGAGTTGCTGCCTGCTGCTCGCTTCCCTGCCACGCGTGCGCGCGGGAGGACGAGTGAGTGCGGACATGGCAGGCTGGACGCGCCGGGCGGGCAGGGCGAGAGGGAGTGGTTGAGAGCGGCGTCACACAGCAGCGCGACGAGCAGCGCAGCATGGGAGGCGTGCGAGGCCAGGCGGAGCATGAGCGGGCGCAGGAGAGAGAGCGGAGGGGAGGTGGCGGTGGGGATGGCGCACATACCATGGGAAGGAGGCTGCAGCAGAGAAGGGAGGAGGGAAGTTAGTGGATGATCAAGTTGCGGAGGACAGTCAGACGATAATGGTGGTGATGGTGATGGTGATTGTTGTGATGATGCTTGTGATGGTTGTTGTGATGCTGAAGGCAGTGCCGTGCAAGTATTGTTTGTTGGTGTTGCTGTGGGGTGCTGTTCAGGGCGCGTTGTCGTTGTCTGTGCCACGCGCGACCGAAAACTGGCCCCATGGCCGCTCTGCATGCCTCTCTTGCTCTCTGCAGCAGCCGCTGTGCTGCGAGGAGGACGAGGACGAGAGGGCAGAGGCACGTTGATAAAGAAGGAGGAGACAGGGCGCTTGGGGTTGGAGAGAGGCAGGTCGGAACCCACTCCGTGCTCCTGACACGTGGCATGCAGCGTGGATGCGCGAGATTGAGGGAGCGGAGATCAAGAGAATCGGGGGTAGTGGAGAGGGTAGATGGGGAAGGGAAAACACACACAAGCACACACGTGAGGAATGAAAGACGGCCTTTGGAGAGGCAAAACAACAGCAGCGATTGCGCGGGGGTTAAGTAAGACGCCCTTGTCAAAAGAGGGCATGACAGGGCAAGACAGGGAATGACAGGGGATGACAGGGAATGACAGGGTATGACAGGGAATGACAGGGAAGGCTAAGACATGACAGGGGATGACAGGGAAGGCCAAGCCATGACAGGGGATGACAGGGAAGGCCAAGACATGACAGGGGATGACAGGGAAGGCCAAGAGATGACAGGAAACAGGGGATGACCCGCCTGCTGCTTACCCGCAAAAAAACATTTCGGCATGACGGGTGCATTAGAGCGAGGCGTCGGGCCAGAGGCAGCAACTGCAGCCGCACCGCCTCCACATGCGGCACGTCTTTAATCGCCACTATGCCGCACCCGGCCGGGCCGTAGCAGTCCAGCAGCTGCCGTGCGACACGCCGTGCGACAGCTATCGCGTCGTCGCCACCTGTCGCAGGCGATTCGCCACTGCTACCGTTACTCATGCCGTGCCTCACTGTGTAATCTGAAGTATCTCTACAGGAGGCTGCACCCAGGCTTCGTGCTTTTATCGAGACGTCGCCTTCTATCGAAAGTCCTGTGTCATCGGCGACATGTGATGAATCGGGGGAGTTTGAGCCCAGCGCGCGAGCGACAGACACGGCAGCGGTGCGAAGGTCCGCATAGTCGATGATCGGGAGCGCAGGGCGCGAAGGAGTGTCGTCCATAGTTGACGGCCGTCAGGTTTGACGGTAATAGGAAGTGGGGCTTCGAGGTTTTGTGCTGGCTGGATCTTGGGTGCTCGATTAAAGCCTTGTACAGGATGGTTGTACAGAATTCAATCTCCTCGAAACAGGGTTACCGTTTGCCATGCGAAGAAGCGTAAAACGCAGCGCATGCATCTGCAGCGTACCCAACCGAGGAAAGGGAAGGAACCCAGAGGCACACGACAACCTCGAAGCTGTTCGGGGCAAACGTGTGTAACGCCCGATCCGTCAATTGCCGTGTTGTGGGTGGGTGAGTCTGTGACGTGATCTCCACAGCACACCACAGTCCTGGGCTCCTACCTACACCGTACGGAATCTCTCACATTCTGCTAGGCTCAACTGCAGTAATGCAATCGGCCATAAATGTGCAATCGCTGGCTAAAAGCAATCAAAGTCGGTTGCTAGTCTTATACGAGTTATAGTTTACACTCAAGGTCGCATATACGTAGTAATTGATCTCTTGCTTTAGCCGATTAGATGGAACCACCCACGCACATCCATGACCTTCCTGACGACATTCTCACGAGGATTTTTTGGCATTTCGAGCAGCCCGTTCCTAGAAAAGCGGGCAGCGATTGCTTGTGGGCTTCCCATTCCTTGAGTCCCACCCCGAAGTACCTACCTCTTTGCAAACCTTTCATTTGAAAACGCCATTCGTCAGGAAATTAAGACGCCATTACCCATTCCTCCTCCTTCTGCCGACGCTCACCGTATTCTCCTCGTCGCGGCCGTGTGCCGTCGCTGGCGCGGTCTCACTCAGCGTTGCGTCTCCGCGCTTCTCGTCCGAGACAATCTCGTCGTGTCTCGCCAGGCTCTCGCGAGTGCTGTCGCTGCCTTACCGAACCTGACCCATCTCCACCTGTGTGACGGCAGCGTCGAGACTCTCGACGACGCCTTCCTCGCTCACCTCGCCTCCTCATGTCCCAACCTCGCCATCCTCCACGTCGGAAGCAGAATTACGCCTGTGGACTGCAGACGCGGTTATGACGCTCAACTCGGAAAGGACGAGCACCCTCCCATCACAGAAGCTGGCCTGGATCGTTTCTTTCGGCAGAGCACTCGGCTGGAGCAGCTTGCACTTTACTGCCTCGACCCTCTGTCGAATTTCCCGCTTCCTTCTTTCAGCTGCCGCATCTGCACAATCTCGCGCTCACGCATGCTTCACCGCTCGAATCTCCCGATTTAAGTAACCTTTCATCCCTCACCAGCCTGCATTTTCCCTCCGGAGAAATTACCTATAAGCAAGTGGCAAGCGTCGCTCGCCTCCCACGCATCACCACCTTGTCAATCTCAGATGAAGCCTCAGTCTACCGTGGTGAGGGCTTTGCACGTGACTTCGACATGGCACAGCTGCCTCTGCTCAAGTTCGTCCAGATGCTGCCTGCTGCATCGCCATGTGCCAGCCTGGAACGCCTGGATATTGTCAACAAGAACCTGATTGGTCGCTTAGATGAGCTTTCACCAGAATTGCTGGCCTTTCAACTCGGAAAGCTGACGCCGAGTCTCCGCGAGCTGAGCCTTCGCCAAAGATTCGCTGCGGAGTACGTTCCTGGTCGTATCACCGCTCTGCCTTTCACTTCTCTAACTCTCTTGGAGAGCCTGACGCTCTTCGAGTGTAACCGGCTTTCCAGCCTGCCGGAGGAGATTGGATGCCTGCATGCCCTGAAGACTCTCGTGCTGCACAGGCTGCCACTCGTGGCCCTCCCGGACTCCCTCTGCCACCTGCCTTCCCTTGAGACATTCCTCCTCATCCAATGCATTACCAGCCCGCAGGTCCTCCAGCTGCCTGCAGATTTCTGCTGCCTCACGTCCCTCCAAACCCTCGCCATTCTGAGGATGCCGCGGGTGAGGCTTCCAGAGAACATTGGTGAGCTCTCAAGGCTGCATACTCTGTATTTGAACGGTCAGTACCAGCAACCGCGGCTGCCACTCTCCTTCACTCAGCTGACTTTATTGACCAGGCTTGAACTGGCGGTGTGCACGATTCAAGAGCTTCCCGAGGGCCTGGGGAACCTGACTAGCCTGCGGGAACTTCACATTCGCTCTTGTCCTCTGCTCCAGAAGCTTCCAGAATCTCTCACAAGCCTCTCAAGCCTTGAAACCCTTACGGTCGATGACTGTGTGAAGCTCTTCTCGATTCCCAGGAGGCTAGACAGCCTTGGGAGGCTCAAATGGCTGGAGCTGACTGGGTGTCCCGATCAGACTCAGCCTCCTACGTCTCTCCCGCACTCCCTCGAGGTCTTGAGTTTTGGAAACAGCTACCACGCGGCTGATCTGCCAGACGTCTCCGTGCTGCCTTGGCTGAGAAAGCTCTCCTTGAAGCTGGTTGGTGCGGAGGAGAGGATGGCTGTGGGCAGCAGCTTGGCGCGCGTGAAGCAGGTGGAGGTGGCGCTGCAGGAGGAGGCTGTGGAGCTGCCCTTGTCCCTTGCGCTGCTCCCCCAGCTGCACACGCTGGTCATGTGGAACGCGGGGAAGATGCAGCGGCTTCCAAGCGACATGGGATGGGCTGTGCCGCAGCTGAGGGTTCTGCAGATCCACTGTGCGCGGGAATTGAGGGAGCTGCCGGACAGCATTGGCGCTGCATCCCGCCTGCGCCAGCTGCACCTCTTAGACTGCCCCGCTCTGCACCACCTGCCTGCTTCCCTCACGCACCTCTCATGCCTCCACGAGCTGCATGTGGAAAACAGCGGCCCGCGCTGCCTTCCTTCAGGTATTGCACAGTTGACCAGGCTGCGCAGTCTTAGCTTGCATGGCTGTGTGGAGCTGCAGGGTCTTCCAGACGATCTCACGGAGCTGAAAATGCTGCAATACTTGGGCATTAAGAATTGCAGCAAGGATGTGTGGGGTGGGTGGGACGCAGTTTTAGAACCTCGTGGGCTCCAAAGTCTGTATGGGTTGAGGATAGAATGTTCTTGGTGGTAAGATTGCGTGTGTGACCTTGGTTGTGTGATGTGTGAACCTGATTCAAGCTGTTTACGGTGGTACCGTATCTCATTGTCAAGATGCTGACACCTCTGCCTAAGTTATACTGGATTACTTGGCGCACAATGATGATGCATTCTACCTGATTTATGCTATAATACTGCGTAGCACCTCCCCACCCCCCAGTAGTTGCCCCCGCTAGATCTTGCTGAGTTTTCAATAGTTTTGTAATTGAAATTTCCGTGCACTTATCCTTTCACACCTCATACGTAGCGCTTGGTTTTGTCCTGCGGCCAAGTATCTCCATCTTCGTTAGAAAGCTGGAGGTCAGGGATGGGCTTGTGTGCTGGTCACTTCCACCCACCTCAGATGGCACGTCCGTCGTGGCAGTCCACGTGTTCATGGGTACGAACATCACGTCACACATTTTCGTGGTGGCAGTCGCTCCAGACAACTGGATAGTTTCTGCGGGCGCCAGCGAAGTTCGACGGCTTTCGTGAGCTTCTTCTTGTGCCAATCAATTCGCAAATGTGGCGAGGTCCCCCCTTGTTCCGTTTGTGTGATTCGCACACTTCCATTCCGTCTCGTCCGTCCGTCTACGTTAGCCAGCGAGGGCAGGTTCTCATCAACCACCCAAACCCAGACAATGCCCCCCTGTCCAGTAATCCGGAAATGTGGGATCGCCACGCTGGTTCAGCTTGGCCTTGTTGAGTCCATGTACAAAATGGTTTCGTCCGCTTTTCCGTTAGCGATCCGTCGGTTCAACGTCAAACGAGCAACGGTTCCCTCCCACATTCGTGAAGATCCCAAGGTTCCTCCCTCTTGCCTCCAATCACCCCGCGTGCCATCTCCTCTCGTTTTCCAATTTCAAGGCTTTTCCATTGCCTCTGATATTGGCTAGACTGATCATCTGCCTTGCTACCCGTAGTCATGGAGGCCTCCGTTGGCATTCTGCAGTCCAGCTCCATGTCATCCTCATCCTTTTACGGATCGCGGCTCCATGCGAAGCCGTCTTCCCTCCCGGCGCAAAGAAATGCCGCTGGAGCGGTTACAGTTCGCGCTGACATGTGGAAGAAGCTCGGTGGCCGAGGACTGATCAGGGAGGACATTTTGAAGAGCGATAAAGCCAATGAGGTTTTGTGGAATCAGCCAGCAAGACCCGGGAAGGACACGACGAAAGAGAAGCTGCCGATCGACAAGGAACTCGTTGAGGGCTTCGACAAGGAGCTCAATGGCCTGACCGGCGGCTTTCCTGGTGGCGAGAAGGTGAGCCTTTGACAGTACAACATTTAGTTGCGGACCAACTCGTTACATATTTTTACTCAAGCGATACACATTCAGTAACCTGTTGTATGCCCGTACAAAGTTCCAGGTGCGATCGCCATGTACAAACGCATTGTGCGAACAGTCGCCTCTTTTTCTTCCCACTTCTAATGCATTTTGCCCTTAAATGCATCGTTTGTTTTGTACGTTGCGGACCCCCTGGCGAGTTCGTACTTATCTTTTTATACCGTATGAACTAACAGCACTTTCGACGTCACTCTTGATGGCACAATGCCTCCCTACGGAAAGGGCTCCGTATACTAACTGACCTATGTTCCTTCCACTGTTTTTGTCCTCTCAGGGGCTCGCTACATTCCTGAAAAACAACCCGCTGCCAGCCAAATACGCAGCGGCTTCCTCGGAGCTCGCTAACGTTCAAAAGCGGTTGTCTGAAGCTGCAGCTGCCATCGCTTCCTCCGTTCCCAAGCCCCTTGCGCCGCCGTTGCTTATGCCTGGCATGACTGTCAAGGTTATCAATCCTAGGGACGCCTACTACCAGTACTCTGGCATTGTCCAAAGACTGACTGATGGGAATGTCGCAGTGTTGTTCGAGGGTGGCAACTGGGACAAGCTCGTGACCTTCCGGCTGTCTGAGTTGGAAAGGACAAAGAAGGGACCTCCTGGCTCTAACCCTAAGTCCGCGTCCCTTCAGTCAGACCCCGCCTTCCAGAAGTAGGTCAATTAAGGTGTATCATGTAGCCATTCTTCTTCAGGCCTATTGGACAACGATGACGAAGTCCTAATACCGTATGCTGGTTTATTATGGAACCTGTAAATTCTTTGCTTAGCGGTAGCATGAGTTGCAATGGAGGCATCCTCACAACCTGCTTGGAAATCATATCAAATTCTATGGCCAATCTCATCAGGGGAAAGCAGCATGTTGCAGATATGGTATGGCAGTTGCCCCCAGCCTAGAGCAGTGGCAACCAAGCTAAGGAGTCTGTCAGCATGGAGTTATTTATAAGCGATGGTCGACAACAGCCCAACCTCTGAGATTCGACTTTGAATCAACACTGTCTGTGCAGCATTTGCCATGGTCCTAGCCCAGACCAGATTTCCTGTCCTGCACTGCTGTGAATATCTGCTGAGCAAATCTAGACCGAAATGCTGAGCATTGCTCAGAAACAAGGACACACATCCACAAGAACAAACCAGCAGCACGAGCAGGTGAGATATTCAAAGAGTTCACGACATGAGCGGGGGCTCCGGGTGTGCCATGGTGAAGAGGTGCCTCCCGCCTGTGGCCTCTAGGTCTGCCAGCACTCTCTCTGCTGCCCTGTATCCGCCCACCAGTGCCTTGCCCACTGCCAGGCCGTCCCGGTGGTTGCCTGGGAGCACAGAGTTGTGTTGGGAGTGAGGGAACACTGAGAGGTGCAGGCAGGGAGGCAGGGAGGAAGTGCATGCAGCAGCAGGGAAGGGAGTGCATGGAGCACTAGACCTGGATGTTTTTTTTGGAATCGGCTCAGACCAACGCAAAAGACCTGACAGCCTTGGTTCACACACACAAAGTGACAGCCAAGCATGAATCGGATGTATTTGACTTGACACACACAAACGCATGTGCATCAATGGGCCACCAGCGGCAGAAACGAGTGCACTGAAGAGACGAACACGAGAACGAGGACGGGCAGATAAGCAACCGAAAATAGCCGCGCCAAACAGGAAAATGCACATGGCTTGTCCAGTAAAAGAAGGCAGAGCAGACCACCCAGCACATCACAGGCGCTAACCCTGCACATGCTGCAGCGCACCTGCCCAGTAGAAGAAGGGCGTGGTGGTCTCTACCTTGCGCATGCTCTCCAACACACCGCCATACCCGTGCGTGAGCTCCGGGAAGGCTTCATGCCACACCATGTGCCTGGGGGAGGGGGAGGGGACAAGATGGGGGGAGAGATAGTGAGGGAGAACGAGAGGGGTTGAAGGGGATTGGTACCTGTGATTGGGTGGGCATTGGATGGCACTGCTTGTAACTAACGAGGCATGTAAGGGAGGAGATGGAAGCGAATGGTAGAGAATGGGAGGGAAGGGAAGGGAAGGGAAGGGAAAGGTAGGGACGTGAAGGGAAGGGAAGGGAAGGGAAGGGAAGGGAAGGGAAAGGTAGGGACATGAAGGGAAGGGAAGGGAAGGGAAGAGAAGGGAAGGGAAGGGAAGGGAAGGGAAGGGAAGGGAAGGGAAGGGAAGGGAAGGGGAAGATAGTAGTGCGGGGATAAGGTGGTGGAGCGTACGAGGAGAAGATGGGCTTGGCCTTGACTCCGAGGAGGCGCTGCAGATCCGCTAGAGCCATGGCGTTCAGCTCCTCCCTGCCATGCCATGATGTGCCATGCCATGCCATGATGTGCCATGCCATAATGTATTACAGAAACCCCGACAATTCCATAAAGAAAAAGGAGTAAAAAAACAGGAACAAAAAAGCATAGTAAAGAAAAGAGAAGCCTCAGAGAAGAGACTTGTGCAAAGTATATTGGCGATGAGCAGGGTGGATGCGTGTGCGGAGCAGATGCTCCCATAAAGCATGGAGCAAGGTGCATGTTTGGCTGAGTATGGCCTGTCAATGCATGTGCGCACACACGCTGGAGCTGCAAGTGCACCCAGTCACACACACACACACACACAAGCACTCGACATGGCCTTGGCCTCAGTCTCTCCCGTTATCCCTTCTCTACCCTTCTCCCCCAACTCTCCCCGCTCTGCCTAGCTGCTGCTACTGCCCCTTTCTCTCCGAGCAACTCACGGGGAGGCAGCAGCACGCATGCCCTTGAAGCATGAGCCACCCACAAACGAGGTGAGAAGATATGGTATTCTGTGTTTTGAATCGACTACCACTCCCCCCCACCGGCCCCGTCTCCCCCCTTCCCCCCATCTCGTCCGCTTGCAGCACAACCTACACGCAGGCAGAGCGCAGGCCCTTGACGTGTGAGGGAGGGACCCCCACGACGAATGACATGAGCAACACCATGCCCTTGTGTGTGCTTTCAGATAACGTGAGTACAGTCACCACACTGCGGTGCCCAATGCCCGTCGCCTCTGTGCGTTTGTGCGTGTGTGTGGGAAGGTGGGGGGGGGGGGGGGTGCGTGCGTGGGCGTGCGTGCGTGCGTGCGTGCGTGCGTGCGTGTGTGTTATGTGTGTTGTGCGAAACATCCCCTCCCTCTCCTCCTCTCGCTGCACGGCTCACACGGAGGCAGAGCGCAGGCCCTTGAAGCGCGAGTGTCCAACAAGCGGCGTGAGACGGACTGTGCCCTCGTGTGTTTAGATTCTGACATGGGCAGCACAGAGCACATGGCCTGTGTGTGTGTGTGTGTGTGTGTGTGTGTGTGTGTGTGTGTGTGTGTGTGTGTGTGTGTGTGTGTGTGTGTGTGTGTGTGTGCGTGTGCGTGTGCGTGTGCGTGTGCGTGTGCGTGCGCGTGCGCGTGCGCGTGCGCGTGCGCGTGCGCGTGTGTGTGCGTGCGTGCGTGCGCGTGCGTGCGTGCGTGTGTGTGTGTGTGTAGAATAGAAACCTAGTCCCCCCCCCTCCTCCTCTTGCTGCACGGCTCACATGGAGGCAGTGCGCAGGCCCTTGAAGCGAGAGCCCCCCACGAAGGACGTGAGCAGCACCGTGCCCTTGGGGGCGCGCTGGGGGAACATGGCAGATGAGAAGAGCGCACCTGAGGGGACGAGGGAAGGGGTGACGGGAGGAAGGTGGGGGGGGCGGGAGGAAAAGAGGGTGAGAGAGCATGGGAGGGAGGTAACATGAGCAGCACCGTGCCCTTGAGGGCGCACTGGGGGAACATGGCAGATGGAAAGAGCGCACCTGAGGGGACGAGGGCAGGAACGCGCAGAGGGTGGAGGGGAGGGGAGTGAGGGACGGAGGGAGGGGGGCATGAAGAATGCATGCTGGACGCTTAGTGGAAGGGCAAGGAAGGGGTTGGGAGGATGAGGGAGAGAATGCTGGTACAGGAGGAAGCTGACAGGCATGGGCTGTGGGCATGGGCTGTGGGCATGGGCTGTGGGCATGGGCTGTGGTGAGAACCAGATACCTCCCACTCCTCTATGCAACGGATGCAAAACATCTTCTTCTCATTCCCTCCTGCTTACCCTTCCTTCTCTTTGGTCCCACTACCCATGCTTCCCACTTCCCCATTCCCAAGCTTCCTCTCCCCTCTCTCTGCTTTTCCCTCGCAGCACCCAGCCGCACTGCTGTATTTGCAATTCCCTCCCGTTCTGCCCATTACAGGACTCCTGCTATTTTCTGTTCGAAGCGGGTTTGATGACCCTTGGCCGTTTTCGGACCTAGCGATTTGAACTGGTGGGCTGCTGCTTCTTTGGTCGGCACAAGCACGCCAAAACCGGGCAGCGCAGACGAAACATCCTCCTCGCGAAACGCGTTCACCAGCAGGGCCATGGACTGATAGACGGGCAGCTGGATGGGAAGTTTTTGCGGCTGCCCGGACAGCTTGAAGGGCATGTTGGCGAGAGCGGAAAGAGGGGCCTGTGGGCATGGGAGGGCGGGGTTAAAGTGGTGTTGATAGGTGGGGCGGACGATGGTAAGGTGGTGGGGTTAGATGGTGGGAGGTGGAAGGAGATGGTGTGGGGAGACTGTGGGGAGATGGTGGGGAGATGGTGGGAGGAACAAGCATGGAGTGTGGCGAAAGCAGGTTTGGCTTGGCAATGGCATCTCACAGCTTGGTTAAGTTCCAGAAACGATGTAGGCAGGTAACAACCAAACGTGCATCGCATAACCTCACATCCTCATCCCCATCCCCATCCCCATCCCCATCCCCATCCCCATCCCCATCCCCATCCCCATCCCTTTCCCCATCCCCATCCCCATCCCCATCCCCATCCCCATCCCCATTCCATCCCCATCCTCATTCCATCCCATCCCATCCCCATCCCATCCCATCCCCATCCCTATTCCATCCCATCCCCACCAACCCCACCCCCTCGCCACCCCCACCCTTTACCGTGACAACAACAGCATCGAATCTTTCCGCTCCTTCCTCCTTCCCACCCTTGCCCTTGCCGCCACTGCCCCCGTCGCCCACGCGCGTGACTGCGAGGGACCAGGAGGGGCGGTGCGGGGGCGAGTGCAGGTCGCAGGAGAGGGCGTCCACGCGGTGGGAGAGACGCAGGGCGGAGGCGGGGATGTGGGTCGCGAGGGAGAGAGGCAGCTCCTGAGACGGGAAGGAAGGAGTGCAGTGCATGCATGCGGTGGGGGAGAGAGGGGGGGATACAGAGGGAGGAAGGGAGAGTACGGAAAGGCATGAGGGCGAGTGGGGATCATATCCTCAGAGGAGGAGGCGAGTGCAGGTCGCAGGAGAAAGCATCCACGCGGTGGGAGAGACGCAGGGCGGAGGTAGGAATCTGGGCCACGAGGGAGAGTGGTAGCTCTTGAGAAAGGAAGCAATGGTAGAGGTATGCGGTGTGGAGACGGGGGTGCAGAGAGAGGGAGGAAGGCAGAGGACGGAGCGGCATGGGAGAGAATGGGGAGCAATCATCACAAGGAGAGGGTGAGTGCAGGTGTCACCATGACTTGGCTTTAAACTCCGCCTACTCATTGTGATTCTTAGGGTCACTTTGACTCCTACTCCTCGCTCGCGTGGATCCTAGCTCCTAGCACGTTAATTGAGCCAGCCGCTTCACACCTGCGGCAGCTTTGCCTCTGTGTAACAGCAGTCCCCGCGGCGCCAGTGGCAGAGGCAGCAAGAGACAGAGGCAGCAAGAGACAGAGGCAGCGAGAGACAGAGGCAGCGAGAGACAGAGGCAGCGAGAGACAGAGGCAGCGAGAGACAGAGGCAGCGACAGTGGGTGGGATCACACCTGCATGCCTGATTGGAAGGAGAATGAGACGCCCTTGGGCCGCGGAGCGAGGACTTTGGGCGCTCCAGTTGATGCGGCGGTGCTGCCCTGCTGTTTAGCCTGCTGCTTCCTGGCCTTGGCCTTGGCCATCTGAGTCTTCACCATTCCCACCAGCAGAGAGCCATGCCTGCTCACAGCATGATACATACGGGCAAACCCACACATGCGCACATGCAGAAGTAGATGCGGATGCATGGGCACATGGACAAGGACACGCACACATGCACAGCACCACAGGCACATGCACAGGACATGCACACGCATAGGCACAGGCACATGCACATGAATACACGCATGTTCTCGCATCCAAAATCACACATGCACGGAGACACATAGGAGAAGAGCTGCATGAATATACATGCGTATACTGTGTCTAAGGACCACAGGACCTAGACACGACACAACACATGTGTGCTGAGAGTGCAAAAGCGAGATTAGAAGGAAGCGAATGTGGAAGTGAATGAGAGCGCTCGTGAATGAGAGCACTCGTGAATGAGAGCACTCGTGAATGAGAGCACTCGTGAATGAGAGCACTCGTGAATGAGAGCACTCGTGAATGAGAGCACTCGTGAATGAGAGCACTCGTGAATGAGAGCACTCGTGAATGAGAGCACTCGTGAATGAGAGCACTCGTGAGTGAGAGCACTCGTGAATGAGAGCACTCGTGAATGAGAGCACTCGTGAATGAGAGCACTCGTGAATGAGAGCACTCGTGAATGAGAGCACTCGTGAATGAGAGCACTCGTGAATGAGAGCACTCGTGAATGAGAGCACTCGTGAATGAGAGCACTCGTGAATGAGAGCACTCGTGAATGAGAGCGCTCGTGAAGGAGAGCGCTCGTGAGTCTGAAGGGAGATGATAGCACAACAAGGGGGTGGCATATTGGAGTGCACAGGCGCAATGGTCACTGCACTGGAAGAATTTGTGTGTACACATAGACGAGCGTTCGTGTGTGCGTGCCGGGTGGGTAGGTGTGTGCGTGCGTGCGTACGTGCGTGCGTGGGCGGGTGGGTGGGTGTGTGCGTGCGTGCATGCGCGGAGAGCAGGGTGCAGGCAAGCCACTCCCTCTACCCCGCCCCTGCACTCACTGCTGCTCCAGCTCCCACACCTCGTGGAACACATGCTTCATCTGCACCACAGGACAAAGGCCATGGGGACACGGCGGGGAGAGAGAGGGGCGGGTGAAAGTAGCAGTGAGGGTTCAGGCAGGGGAGACGAGGTGTGTTGGGCACTCACTGCTGCTCCAGTTCCCACACCTCGTGAAACGCGTGCTTCATCTGCGGCACAGCACACCGGGCATGGGGGCAAAGCAGGGAAAGTGAGGGGTGGGGGGAGAGGGCTGAGGCAGAGGAAAAGAGGCGTGCGCAGATGGCGGTGCAGATGGTGGAGATGGCTTCAAAGTCTCCAGATGATGAAGCGTGTACAGAGAAATGGGTGACGGAAGGATCAGCATCCATGGGCGCGGGATGGGAGGTGGGTGGGGAAGGGAGCGCACACAGACATATGGTAGGAGAGAGAGCTTGTGCTGTACAGCATGGCATGGCATGGCATGGCATGGCACGAAACGACACGGCATGACATGTAAGATCACGGCATGGCTGGAATGGCATTTTACGGCATGGTACGGCACGGTACGGCACGGCACAACATGACACGGGGAGGCATACGAGGAGGTCGTTGGGGTCGGATCCTGTGGTGCCGGCACAGAATGGGTCCACGATGTAGTCCACGGGCTGGGAGGGCGGTGGGTGGCGTGCATGGGGTGCATGCATGTGCGGGGCGGAGAGGAAGAGGGCGGAAGGTGTTTTTGAGATTCCTCAACAGCCAACTGGTCGCATTGCATGCACTCCCCACTGCCGGCACAGAAGGGGTCCACGATGTAGTCCACGGGCTGGGAGGGCGGTGGGTGGCGTGCATATGCGAGGAAGGGTGGAGGGGAAGAAGAGGGCGGAGGGTACTCGTGGAAATTCAAGAACCATATCTCTGCTTGTCGCATGCACTCCCCACTGCCGGCACAGAAGGGGTCCACTATGTAGACCACTGGCTGGAGGGTGGTGGGTGGGGTGCATGGGGTCCATGGGGGTCCATGGGGGTGCATGGGGTGGGTGAATGGGGTGCATGGGGTGCATGGGGTGCGTGGGGTGCGTGGGGTGCGTGGGGTGCATGGGGTGCATGAGTCGTTTGTGCAGGATGCAGGGGATGATGGGAGGGTGGGGGGTTGACGAAAGCGAGAAGCGAGTAATGGGAAGGAGAGGAGATGCGGAACTATGCCCAGAAAGGGGTTAAGGTGTGCACAGGGTGGTGTGAGGGCGGTGTAAGAGCGTGGAAGAAAGAAGACCGGCATGAGGAGAAGCAAGGGAGGGAATGAAGAGCATGAGCGGCGAGAGGGAACGTGTGAGGGACGATTTGGTCTGTCTGGGAAGGGGTCACTGATGCAGGCAACAGCCCTAGGTGGTGGCGTTTGCGCGGAGGAAGGGAGGGAAGTTCACGTTCTCATGATAAGAAATGAAGCTTTTTACGGATCCACCGCTTAGTGTGTGCGAAACTGTGTGGGCGCAGCTGGATGAGCACGGCCCATGATCGTGCAAGATTATAACTTTCAAGATGCCTCACGTGGAAGTGGTACCATTAAAACTGGAGGTTTGTATTCCCATCCCAAAACACCCCCTTATTTTGCCACTCCATGCGGTCTTCTTTCTCCTTTCTTTTGTCTCTTTGACTCTGATATTCGTCTTGTTCTTCGTGCTGCAGAGCCCGATCACCTATTGCATCAGTCGCAGTAGGATTTATTCGTGAACAACAGAATACCATATAGTTATTCAAAGCAATTTGCTAAGTATGTCATGTCTTGTGACGATTGTTTTTTCGGGGTTTAGGGTTTTTGTTTTGCACACAAATGACAGCGCGCGTCATTTTTCTCGAGCAATGCATTATTTTCAGGTTATTTTTCTGATTGTTTCTTTGTTTTTGTACCCTCAATCCAACCTCATCCGAAGTTGGGACATGCAATGTTGCATGTCACAACTTCGGATGGGGCTGGATTGAGGGTACAAAAACAAAAAAACAACCAGAAAAGAAAATAACCTGAAAATGTTGCATTGCTCGAGGAAAATAACGCGAGCTGTCATTCGTGTGCAAAACAAGAACACTAAAACTGAAAAACAATCGTCACAAGACATCACTTACTTTACAAATTGTTTCGAATAAATAATATAGATTCTGTTGTCCATGGATAAATCCTGCTGAGACTGATGCAATAGGTGATCGGGCTTTGCAGCACGACGAACAAGACGAATATCAGAATCCGAGCTACAAAAGAAAGGAGAAAGGAGATCGCATAGAGTGACAAAATAAGGGGATTCTTTGGGGGGGAAAACAAATCTCCAGTTTTAATGGTAGCACTTCCACGTGAGGCTCCTTGAATGTTATCAGCCATTTCTTATCAGATGTTGCATGCATAAACGTGTTGCACACATGTATGGATGTGGATGGATGCATGTGTGGGCGTGTGCATGCATGCATGTGTTCCATTCTATGTGATGCATTGCATGCATGGATATGAGGGCACATGTGTCTCACTCACCTCAGGCCCCACATGTCGCTCCAAAAAGCTCCGCACACTGAGACAAAGAGGGACGGGCACAGAGGAGAGGATGAGGCACGGGGGCATGAAGGCATGAGTTCAGAAAATGCACGTACGTAGCTCGTGCATCTGTCTGCACACCATTCCCCCTCGGTGTGACTTTTGAGAATTTTCAAAAGTCACACCAACATGTCCCCTCGCCCCACGACAGACAGCCCCACGCACTTCCACCACATCCCCCACCACATCCCCCACCACATCCCCCACCACATCTCCCCCCATCCAACCACAATTCCCTTCCCCCCCCACTCCATCATTCCGCCAGCCCACATCTCCCCTTCTCTCAAGCACCCATCCTTTCCCTCTCGTTGCTCCCACTCCCTTGCCTCTTCCCCTGAGCGCACCTCTCCTCATCAGCATTGGATCCAGGGGAAAGCCGCTTCCACAGCAGCGGCTCTGCTAGCATGCGCAGCTAGGGGGAAGAGGGGGAGGGAGAGGGGGAAATGTGTGTGAGAGGGAGAGAAGGGAGGAGGGTAGGGGAGAGGGATTTGGAACGACCAAGGTGGAAGCGGAAGGTGAGGGGCGGAATGGGGTGGGGAGAGGGGAGGTGCGCAGAGGGGAAAGAGGAGGGAGGGAGGATGAGAGAGAAGGGGAGTGGGAAAGGGAGAGCGACGGAGAGCGAGAATGGAGTGAGAGGGAAGAGAGAAGGGGAAAACCAGAACTAGAGGCCTAGAAAGGAGAAGCAGACAAGGATAAACAAATGCATGCACATCAGCTCTTCAGTTATCAGCGAGAGAGAGAGGAGAGACGCATAAAGAGGTGCGTAGGATGGAAGGGACGGTGGGTTAAAAACGAAAGAAAGCGGTCGCTCATGCAACCGTCATACATGTCATTCCCCCATGCTCGCACCCATACACCCACTATCCCCATGCATGCACGCATCTAAGCACCCACCCACCCACACGCCCACCCACCCATGCCCCCATACCCCATAACATGCCCCCATGTTCCCATTCGCATGCCAGGTGCACCCAGGAGCACCTTGGCAGGGAGGGAGAGGAGTGGCGTGGTGAGGAACTCGGGCAGACTGGCTGGGAGCTGCCAGGGGGGACAAGGGGGGGGGGGTAAGGGGGCAACGGGGGGCAAGAGAGGGCAAAGGGGGCAAGGGGAGAAGTGGGGTAAGGGGGGCAAGGGTTGCAAGGGGGACAAGGCTAGTGGGGGAAAGGGGACAGCGAAGAAGGCAGTGAGAGGAGGAGGAGAGAGCAAAGGGGAGGGACGGGAGGGCAAGAAGAAGGATACAGAGAAGAGAGGCGGTGCAATGTCCGTCTGCAGATGGAGAAACGAGTGAATAATGTACTGGCAACGATTCAGAATGCAAAGGTGGGCGTGATGGAGGAACGGAGTGGTGATAAACTGGGATGGGCAATCAAAGAGCGTGCCAAAAAGAGGGAGCCAAAAAGAGGGAGCCAAAAAGAGGGAGCCAAAAAGAGGGTGCCAAAAAGAGGGTGCCGAAAAGAGGGAGCCGAAAAGAGGGAGCCGGGTAAGACATACATGGGACATTCCCCAGTTCTCTTCGGGCAAAAGACATGGGTTCACTTGGGGAATGGGGCGGTGATAAACTGTGGGGTGACGACTCCCAGTGAGTGAGGTAAGGGGAAGGAGAGGGACGAGGAGGAGCAGGAGTGGGAAGTGATGTGAAGGAAATCAGCGGGAGGCACGCTGCTGTTCTGTGCACTTCCACCCCATGCCCGCTTTCCCTCCCCTCCCTTCATGCCCCTCCCATCCCCATCCATCCCCATCCATCCCCATCCATCCCCATCCATCCCCATCCATCCCCATCCCCATCCATCCCCATCCATCCCCATCCATCCCCATCCATCCCCATCCATCCCCATCCATCCCCATCCCCATCCATCCCCATCCATCCCCATCCCCATCCATCCCCATCCATCCCCATCCCCATCCATCCCCATCCATCCCCATCCATCCCCATCCATCCCCATCCCATCCATCCCCATCCATCCCCATCCCCATCCATCCCCATCCATCCCCATCCCCATCCATCCCCATCCATCCCCATCCCCATCCATCCCCATCCATCCCCATCCCCATCCATCCCCATCCATCCCCATCCCCATCCATCCCCATCCATCCCCATCCCCATCCATCCCCATCCATCCCCATCCATCCCCATCCCCATCCATCCCCATCCATCCCCATCCCCATCCATCCCCATCCATCCCCATCCCCATCCATCCCCATCCATCCCCATCCCCATCCCATCCCCATCCATCCCCATCCATCCCCATCCCCATCCATCCCCATCCATCCCCATCCCCATCCATCCCCATCCATCCCCATCCCATCCCATCCCCATCCATCCCCATCCATCCCCATCCATCCCCATCCATCCCCATCCCCATCCATCCCCATCCATCCATCCCCATCCATCCCCATCCCCATCCATCCCCATCCCCATCCATCCCCATCCCCATCCATCCCCATCCCCATCCATCCCATCCCCATCCCCATCCATCCCCATCCATCCCCATCCATCCCCATCCATCCCCATCCATCCATCCCATCCATCCCCATCATCCCCATCCCCATCCATCCCCATCCCCATCCATCCCCATCCCCATCCATCCCCATCCCCATCCATCCCCATCGATCCCCGCCCCCGCCCCCGCCCCCGCCCCCGCCCCCGCCCCCGCCCCCGCCCCCTCCCCCGTCCTCCGTCCCCCTCCCCGTCCCCCTCCCCGTCCCCCTCCCCGTCCCCCTCCCCGTCCCCCTCCCCGTCCCCCTCCCCGTCCCCCTCCCCCTCCCCCTCCCCCTCCCCCTCCCCATCCCCATCCCCATCCCTCCCCATCCCTCCCCATCCCCATCCCCATCCCCATCCCCATCCCCATCCCCGTCCCCGTCCCCATCCCCATGACTATCAACACACAAGGGCAGGAGCACCCACCAGGGTAGGCTTGCCATTCTTCACTACATAGCGCTTGGACTGCTGCTCGGGCTGGTACCATGGGAATATGCAGCACACATGCACATGCATGCACAGTGACACTCGTGCATCGCACACACATACATGATGGCACATGCACATGCACACAAATATGCACACGCACATGCACACGCACACAGGCACAGGCACGTGCACATGCACATGCACATCAAAGCACATGCACACGGACGGAAACTCATATCAAAGCACATGGACACAAACGGACACTCATATCAAAGCACATGGACACAGACGCACAAGTGAGCAGGAGATGAGAGAAAGGAAGGCACAGGAGCATTTCACATGGGCAGCATGTAAGACTGGCATGTGTATGTGTGATTGGCACATGCAATTGCCATGTGCCATTGGCATGTGTCGTTAGAAGGTGCAAGACATGTACCAACCACTGCTGCTCTCAGCAACCCCCCTGCCCTACCCGTCACCACTGCTCTCACCAGCACCACTCGGTCATGCAGCCCCAGGTCGTCTATTATGCGCCCCACTAGCGGCTCGTTCTCCATCTGCGGAGGGAAGGGAAAAGAAGGGGAGGTTGGGGTTCAGTGAGAGGGGTAGAGTAGAGGGAGCGATAGAAAGTGAGGGCGAGAAGGGAAGGGCAGGGCGGAAACAGGCACGAAGGATGGTCAGGGCAGAACGGGCGGGGGGGGAGAGGGGGGGGTGGGGGGGCGAAGAGAGAGGATGCGAGATGGCAGTGGCAGGTCGGAACGGCACGGAGCAAATGGGAGCGATGGGTGGCGGCAGGGCAGAGCAGGAATTGAGAGCGAGTGGTGGAAGATGCATGCACAAACACGCGTGTCATGCCGTGCTACGCCATGGGGTGTGGGCACGCACACATGCCATGTAAAGGCAGGGAGGGCGAGCGAGGAACACGGCATGCAGATGCAAAGCACACTGATTAGTCGCCAGTGCCCTGCCGCAACACACACACAACCTCCATCCAGCCCCTTTCATTTATTCATTCATACATGCATTCATTCATCCCCTCCACCCACGCACAACTCGACCTATTCACCAGTCAACTCAGGTCAGTCGAACCCACCACCATCCAAGACGCACAACACTGCTCGGGCCCACCCCCATCGCCCCAGCATCCAATCATCCCCCCAGCCCCCATCATCCCAACTCCCATCATCCCCCCACCCCCCCAATCACCTCGCATGCACACACACGCACCCACCCACCATGGTGTTGGCGCCAGCGTCCCATCGGAAGCCGTCAAGCACCTCAACCCCACCCCCCATCCCGCACCCCACACCCCCCACAAGCACGCACCCACCCACCATGGTGTTGGCGCCGGCGTCCCATTGGAACCCCTGTTCGCGGTGCGACCACAGCTTGCCGCCCACGCGCGCGTTCGCCTCGTACACCACCACCTCCGCGCCCCCCTGCTGCAACCGCCACGCCGCCGCCAGCCCGCTGCGGATGGCGTGGGGCGGTGAGATGAGATGGTCCTCCGCGCGCCCGCCCGCGCCCACCGTTGTTCCGCCGCAACCACGGTGGCGGTTGCGGATGAGGCGGGGGGAGAGGAGGAGGGGGAGGGGGAGGGGGAGGGGGAGGGGAAGAGATGAAAGGGGGGCGAGGGGAGGGGCGGGGGAAGGGAGGAGGGGAGAGTGGAAGGAGACGCCAAAGGGGTTTGTTTGGGGGGAGTGGGAAAGGAAGGAGGGGGGCATGGAACAGCAAGGCAGCAGCTGCAGGAGCGTTTTGAGTCAACTTAAACCACATTTGGGAGGAGTGGGAAAGGAGGAGGGTATGTAGCCGGAAGGCAGCAGCAGCAGGAGTGACGTGCTCGCTAGTCTGCACTGCAACAACTCATGCATGGCACGCTCTCTCAACTGTCTCACTCGCACACATGCTACCTTTCAATCCCGCGTTGACTCGAGTAACCATGACGTTGACTGACGTTGACCCACGTTGACTCACCTGACCCCTGCTCCAATGACCGCTACTCGTCCCAGCGGAGGGGTTGTTGCTGCTGCTGCTGCTGCTGATGCTGGCGATGTGGGCGGGGGAGACGTAGGGAAGACAGGCATAGGGGCAAGAGGGAGAGGAAGAGGAAGACGGTGGGAACGAAGAGTGAGAAATGATGCGCACAAACGCTAACTCTCCTCTCATCGCAACCGCTAGCCGTTCGGGTGCAGGCAGCTATCTGGCCCGTACCAGCCTCGCCCCTCCTCGTTCCTACACAACCATCTCCACCACCACGCACCGCGCCGCGTGTATGCGCGGCCGGTGGGTGTGGGCATGTGCCTGTTCTTCACCTGGAATTCCAGACGGCGCGGTTGGGTGAACAGCATGCGCCTTGGAGGGCTCTTTGAAAGGACCTGGGCGAGGCATGCTGGACGAATGAGGTGGCGTGTTCAGAGAAATGAGGAAAATGCTCGCGTAAAATGTGCAAGGTGAAGGAATATGCAAATTAAAACAAAAAAATAATATTATTAAAAAACTTACAACACAGACAACATGGGGATGTAGCTCAGATGGTAGAGCGCTCGCTTAGCATGCGAGAGGTATGGGGATCGATACCCCACTTCTCCAGGCCCATGTTCTGGTTTTCTCCATCGTGACCTGACTTTGCTCTTGTCCGTTTCCCCGCTAGAGTTTTTTTAACTACTTAATTTATTTTATCTAGACGCTCAACGTGCGGGGATAGCTCAGTTGGGAGAGCGTCAGACTGAAGATCTGAAGGTCGCGTGTTCGATCCACGCTCACCGCAATGTTTTATTGTCTGTCTGGGCATGTCATAGGGTTTGTTTTCAGCCCAAATATCACTGTTCAGACTGGTGGGTGACAATTGAAAGCCTGACGAAAAGGTAAGTGCATCAAGTCTGACCTGCCCTCAGCCTGTCATGCAGCCCCCGATCAGTCTGAGTTTGCGGCATCTACGCATGACAGCAAATTTCATAGCTTTGTTTCTGGGTATCTGATTGATCAATCCGCCAAATGTTGTGTCTCAGTAACCAGTGTACCGGACTAGCTGCGTTCTTTCAAGGCAGCAATGGTACGGTATCTTATCACTCACAAAGCCCACCCAGTACTCGGTGCAGGGGTTTCCAAATACAGCAAAAACGATATTCAAAAGGCTAATACGGTACAACGGGTGAGCAAGCATTTCCCTCTTACGTTTGTCAGTAATTTGACTCCCCCCTAGCTCCAAGCATTGCAGCATCCAAATACAGCAAAAACGATATTCAAAAGGCTAATACGGTACAACGGGTGAGCAAGCATTTCCCTCTTACGTTTGTCAGTAATTTGACTCCCCCCTAGCTCCAAGCATTGCAGCATCCAAATACAGCAAAAACGATATTCAAAAGGCTAATACGGTACAACGGGTGAGCAAGCATTTCCCTCTACGTTTGTTAGTAATTGGAACTCCCCCCTAGCTCCAAGCATTGCAGCATGCATGGTTCTGTAGCAGCGGGATTAGGAGGGTGTGTAGCAGATGCATGGGAGAAGGGGTCTGCAGCAGAGGCATCGGATGGGGCGCCTGTAGCAGAGGCATGGGTTGGGGGCAGCAGAGCCTGCAGCAGCACGTGGCGAAGGGCAGGCAGCGAGGCTGCAGCATGCAGAGCTGCTCTCAGCTCCCACCCCCTGCGGTATGCTCCCTGGTGAGCAAAGGACACAGAGCGACCTGCTTGGGACACACAGGGTCGCGGATGGGAAAAGGGGGAGGAAGGGAGGGCAAGAGAGGGGGGGGTGAGTGGGTTAGTTGAGGCGCCGGAAAAATGCTCTCAGCTCCCACCCTCAGCGATACACACCTGGTGGGGTCATGCGTGCAAAGAGGTGTGGTTGGAGAGTCATAGGAAAGAGGGAGTGGGGGGGTGAGATGGTGAATGGTTGGTACGGGAATCATTCAGAAATGGAAATCCAGCCCCAATGCCCCTGTCCTTCCTCCCACTCTCCTACGACCATCCCCCTTCTCACCTGCCCCTCGCCGCCCGAGCATGTACTCCAGATGCAGACGAATGCCGGGCCAGGTTACCGAGCCTGACTCCACCGAGCCTAGCTGGTGGCACAGGGCGAGGTACTCCAAGGCCACTGAGAGGCGCTCCTCCCGAGAGGTGATTCCCCCACTGAGGATCTTGGGGTCGTGTAACACGCCCTCTGCTGACATGGCACCGTCTGCCCCGGTGAACGCCAGGTTGGCTGCCACGTCAGCAGGTGACGAGATGTTGCCGTTGCTGAGCTGGCACAGGTAGAAGGGAGACGAAGCCGGAAATGCAGATAAGTAGGCGGAGGATGGTGTTGGGAACCGGATGAATGGGATTTGGAATGGAAAAGCGGGGGCGAAGAGGACACACAGTGACACGACATGACACGACAATTCCATGACATGGCAGTGACGTGGCAAGGCAGCACTGACCACGGGGATGGCCAGCGCCTGCTTGACAGCTCGCACGGCTGCCAGGTCAGCGGGGCCCACTCGCCTTTTGACAGTGCCAGCTGGCATGCGCGCGTGCAGCGCAATGAGCGCGCAGCCGGCGTCCTGCAGGCCACGACAGAGGGCGATGGTCTGATGGGGTGAGAGGTGTGTGGGGGGGCGGGGGGAATGGGGGATGGGGGGGAGGGGGAGTATTATTACGGAGGGAGGGGGGAAGTTGATAATGAGCGAGGGAGAATGGAGGGGTGGTGAGAAGCTGCCATATCTCTGTGGAGAAGCGGGGGGAAGGAAGGGGCGGAAAGGGAACAAGCTTCTGCTTGCAAAAGCGGTTTCTGAGATTACTGGAACAGAGAAACAATAGAGATGCCTTTCTGCTTGCAAAGATCTGGATGACTGTGTGTTTAATACAGCCTGCTTGCATTGCAAGCAGACCAGCACACGTTTTGCAAGTGGGCGAAGCATGGCACGTGCATGAGGCAGGGCAGGTGGAGTGACACGAAGGGGGCGGTGGATGGGGGGAGGAGCTTCACCTATGCACCCTTGGGTGCTTGGCTAGTTGGGGGTTTGGCAGACACCAGTTTTGACGTACGTGTCAACAGGACGTGCAGCAGAGACACGGTAGAGTGCACTGGTGGGGGGCAGGGAGCAGGGAGAATCACCTGGGGCAGGGAGGGCATGAGGCGGATCTTGCAGAAAATTGGGATGGGCAGGTGCGATGCCATGGCTCGCACCATGGCGTACACACGCGGCAGGTCCTGCTCACAGTGGAGACATGGGACATGAGACATGGGGCATGGGTCATGAGGGGACAGTGGACTTTTGAGACGTCTCAGAAGACTCCATGGCTCTCAGTCTCTCACCATGGCATAAACGCGCGGCACGTCCTGCTCATGGTGGGGCGGGGACATGGGGCATGGGGGGAAGGAACACGGAAAGAAGCATCAGGGCAGCGGCGGAGTGAGGAAAGAGGAGGTAGTGCGCAATAGGGCAGAGAGGAAACAGCGGAACGGGCTAGACGGGCATGGAGAAGCTGAGCTGAGCACAACTGGAACGGGCACCATTCTCATCCCCACCCCTCACCCCACACCCCCCCCCCACCCCCAACTCCCCACCCCCCACCCCCCACTCCCCACCCCACACCCTCCACCGCCCACCCCCACCCACCCCTCACCCCTCACCCTGAGGCTTACCCTGTCCACCCTCTTCTAGGTGCATGCTGACCAATGGCCATTACACACGTGTCCCCGCTCTCCCTCCCTCCCTACTGACCCTTCCACTTACCCCTGTCACGACCGTGCGTGCTTGCTAGTCACCTTTCCATCATCAAAGACTTCATTCCTCAATCGCCCTATATTGAGGGCCTTGTTTGTGATTACCTTATCATTGAGGAGGTACGCCCCGTAGTGGCCCTGCTTGGCGCGCAGCTGAGGGCAGCCCAGGTTCACGTCCAGGGCCACCAGGGGCGAGGGGGGCAGAGGGGGAGGCGAGAGGCACAGGGATGGCGCTAGGTGGGGCGGTGATGCCTGTGTGCCACGTGTCATGCACTCGCCGGCGTTGCCATACCCACCGCACCAGCACCCGCTGCTGTTGAGACTGCTGCTGCTGCTGCTGCTGCCGTTGGCAATACTGCTGCTAGGTCTCGTGGCACATTCAGCAGCATCGTCGTCGCTGCAGCCTGCACTGGAAGCACAGGGAGAGAGAGCACGGCAGTAAGAAGCACACAACGCATGACAGAGAGAGCAGCAAGCGAAGCATGTGCATATGCATGTGCACGCGCGCGAACGCGCATCGCAAGTGGAGGTGCCACCACTGCCACAGCACAGCCAACAACATCCGCCCGTCCGCCACACATACCTCCCTGCCCAACCGTCCTTCACCCCAGCTCTGCTGCACATCACCCCACCTGCTGCGCCCACCACTCTCTCTCTCTCTGACTGCTCTCTGCCACTGCCGCCCTCTTTTCTCTCTTCTCCCTCCACTTCCTTTCTGCTCTCACACATGCCATGATGCTCGCACGTCTCGACAATACTACGTCCACGTTGCTCCACTGTACCTGCTGCTCCCTCTTCTCCGCTCTGCAGCCGCCCCTCCTTCAAATCCCACACCTCCCCCTGTCTTTCAACCCCTTCTTCACATCTACACACACGCTCCGCTTCTCCTCCTCCTCCTCCTCCCTCCCTTCGTTCTGCCTCTGCCGCGTCCCCCCCTTCAGCTCGCATCTCGTATGGTTCCCCTCGTCTCCCCATCCTCTCCTTTTCCCCACTTGCTTTCGTCTCTCCCGCCTTCTCCCTCCCCCCCGCCCGCTTCTGCTCCCCCTGCGTACCTTCCCCGGTGCTCTGCACGCGCCCAGCCTGCGCCGGTTGCTCCACGCGCGCCATGTGCGCGAGCACCGCCCAGCCCGCGCGCACCATCTCCGCGGGGTCGTTGTCCGCCAGCTGTGCGACCAGCGGGCCGTCGCACGCGTGCGACTGCAGGGCCCGCGACAAAAAGCCCGGGTCGCTCAAAATCGCGTCGCTGGGCGAAGGCGGGGAGGAAACGGGAGGGGCGGGCTCCCGGGAAGGGAGAGAGAAGAGGGGGGGCGGGGGGGGGGGGGGGGGGGGGGGGAGAGTGGAGGAGGGAGGAGTGAACGGACGTGGAGCGAGAAGACGAAGACAGGAGCAGGCGCCATGCGCCATGCGCCCAATGCAGGAACAGCGGTCACGCACCTCCGCGGATTCTATCAGGACGTTCCACGCACGGACCTGTGGAGCATCTCCGTGTACGCGATAGTAGCTCCGTAGCGGCGACACAAGAGGCGGAACGGCAGGTCACTCTGCCCCACCATGGGCGCGACGGCGTAGCGCACGTCGAAGCCGAGGGGTTGGGGTTTCCGGCGCGCACTCCCCGCCATGTTGCCTCGTGACGTTCACCTAGCGGAGCGCGAATGCTAGTAGGGCGCAAGGCGACGAGCGCAAGGAGCGCGAGAAAGCCTCAAGCGTCAAAGGTGGCGTGGAGTGGAACATTGGTTCAACTTTTTCAAGAGGCTCGAATCGAACTTGAACTTGGAGCAACCCCATGTACCTCCGATGAGCAGAGCATCTCTGCAGATAAAATAGAAGCATTTCAGTTCAGGAGCAAAAGTTTGTCGCAGTAGCCAACAAAGAGTACAGAGTTTCCACTGGGGTCAAAGCAGTTTCATTCACCACCTCAGCAGGATTTTCTTCTCACTCTCACCACCACGACGTTCCGCTCCCTGCTGCTCTCAGCTCTCCGCTCTCAGAAGCTTCTCGTGGCGCTTTGGTATCCAATACAGCAAGTAGCAAAAGTTCACACAGACGCCATGTGGCGATGGAATGGTGCTTGACCTCGGCGGAATTCTTGAATCCTTGTCTTTCTAGCTTCCTCGAAGCCTTTCTCAGAACCAGCGACGCCACACCCGGCGAGTTTAGCTGCATGGCTTGGGCTCATGCCTCGACGCGCCAACGCCGGGAGGTTCACGAGGTTGGAGCTCTCGCGATGTTTCGTGATTATTGTGACGGCGTGGTGCAGCAATTTGTGCTCCGAAGGACGCCATGGATGGTACTCGAATGTAGTATCTCCCGACGGCTCGAGGCGCGATGCTGCATATTTAAACGGCAGACGCGGGGACCGTTACCATCGCATTCAACAGCCGAGAATTCAAGAGTTCCATTACTACTAATTCAGAATTCATTCACCTACTTTTAGGGTTCTCCAGCTTCCTTCCACACCATCCGTGTTTAGACTGCTAGGGATTCTGACTTCACCAGATGGCAAGCCAAAAGTTCCTTGTCGCTTCGCTTCTCTTGCTGCTGGCTGTTCTTCTCAGCATCTCCGACTTCCCTTCTGCTCACGGTACGATTGTCTCGCCCTATTACCCCAAAACACTGAAGCATCCAGTGATCACATCACATCATGTAGGCATGGCTTCATAGTCCTGTATTAAGGAAAAAAACACTCGCGAGCAACATTGAAACATTGACGTTTTTCCCCTCCAGGTGCAAGAGCTCCATTCGCGAGCGTTGCATCCCCCGCTATAGTCACACGGAGGAGAGTGCTGCACAGCTCCAAGACATGCACGGACAAGTACGAGTTGAAGCTGCAACGGTGCGAGGACAAGGAGACACAGTGCATCGACCGCGCGCGGGACTGGCGGCACGAGCAGAAATGCACGGAGAAGCGCGGCGAGTGCGAGTGGGACGCGAGCGACGCATTCAACGAGTGCCAGGAGGAGTGTGTTGAGAAGTGCGACGAGCAGCTGAACGAGTGCTATCACGACCGCCATCACGACAGCCGCAAGTGCGACAGGAAGGACCAGAAGTGCCGTGACAAGTGCAACTGAATTGGACTGAACTAAAGCAGGGGGAGGGAGGGAGCAATAGGTGAGGGAGGTGCAGCAGGGTTTGCACATAGTGTGCCTTCTTTTTTGAATGTGATGTGATGGGTTGGGTTGGGTTGTGTGTTTTGTGTGTCTGTTATTGACTTATGGTTGTAGATACCTCCATTACCGTACCATACCACCCTACTGTGTCTCAGCACAGCCACATCAGAGCAGAGCAACGCTGCTTTTATGCATGCAAGGCAGGGCATGCCTTGCTAGCAACACACAGTGCTCGAGTGGGGTATGAAAGACTTCGTACGGAATGCAGGTACTATAATACGGTAGTGGGGTTGGGCGTGGATTAGGTTAGGCCCAAGGAGCACGTGCAGGCCCAATCTGGTCAAGTCAAACGCTTTACCAAATCAACATTCACAACACTTGAGACTTCCAAACACCAAGGTCGCTACAAACCCGGCCTGTCCTGAATGCCAGCATGTTATTCAACAAGATCAGAGAATGTTGCTTTCACATGCAGCCACACCACCCTTATCCCAACTCTCATCCCAGCAGCAGCATGTGCTGCTGAGCATCAGCATTGACAGCAATCCAGAATCAACACAATAGAAAATTATTTTCCATTCGTTTCAATGTTAACATTTATAAACTGCATGTGGCTTGCCTACTCGTGCTTCTTCTTACCCCCCTTACCCCCTTTACTCCCCTTGCTACTCCTGCCCCCGTCCCTCTCACCCTCCTCCAACCGAAACCCATCCCCAGGCACACCCCATTGCCACAGGTTGCTGACCACAATCACGGGCACCAGGCACACAAACGCCAGCGTCACAATGAGCGCCTGGTACAGGTACGGGAAGCGCGCAGGCGCAGGCAGCGCCACCTCCGCATAGTGCAGGGCTGCTGCGGCCACCAGCAGCGGCGGCACCACATATCGCTGTGTGCTTGCCCATGCGGCGTGGAGGAAGGTCAAGAGGCGCTGTCTGAGGTCATGGTGTTGTTGATGGGCCGATGGTGCCGATGTGGGTGGGGCAGCAGTGGAGGAGGGGGAGGAGGAGGAGGAGGGAGGGGGGGAGAGCAGGAGGAAGAGTGCGAGCAGCGCTGTGTAGGCGAGCTCGAGGCGGTCGCGGAGCAGCAGAGGGAACATGCTGAAGAGCGCCACGGTGGAGAGCCAGCGGTGCAGGCGCGGGTGGTGCAGGGCTAGCATGCATGTGGGGAGTAAAGGCAGCAGAATGGACTTTTCATGCACTGAGGGGTGGGGCGTGGGGGATATTGGGTTGGGCGTGGGGTGTAGGGGGTAAGGGACCGGGCGCAGGGAAAGAGGGGGATGGGGGTATGGGGCATGACCAGAGAGGGTCGAGGATTGGGGTGAAATGGGGAGAAGGGGTTAGGCGGAGAAGCCAGGTAGGGTGGTGTTGGTCCGCAAATGGTATACAAAGAACCCTTGGACAAGAATGCTCAACAGTCCTCACAGGGGTGGTGCGAGAACAGAATTTCAGAAGCACCTGATCCACATAAAGTAGAACACAGCCCCGACTTCGCAGTCTAGATGGAAATTAAAAAGCATGCAGCCGGCAGGGTGTGCAGGCAGGCAGAGTGTGCAGGCAGGCAGTACCTTGGAAGGCGAAGAAGAAGAAGGCAAGGGAGGAGTTGAGCATGGCCAGTACCAAACCGTGTGCTGACGGCCGCAGCACCTGGTGCCATGGACACACAGGGAGCGAGGGGGTGGAATAAGGTAGATAGGCCACTGTGAGCAACCAATAGTTTTTAAGAGGCACCCTTAGTTATTAAGAGGCACCCATAGTTATTAAGAAGCACCCATAGTTATTAAGAAGCACCCATAGTTATTAAGAAGCACCCATAGTTCTTAAGAAGCACCCATAGCTATAAAGAGGCACCCATAGCAATCAATAGTTTTTCTGGCCGGAGACTGGAACAGCAGCAGGTAGAGCGGAGTATGTGCAATATGCAATGTGAAATGTGCAATGTGCAATGTGCAATGTGCAATGTGAAATGTGGAATGTGAAATGTGCAATGTGAAATGTGCAATGTGAAATGTGCAATGTGAAATGTGCAATGTGAAATGTGCAATGTGAAATGTGCAATGTGAAATGTGCAATGTGCAATGTGAAATGTGCAATGTGCAATGTGAAATGTGAAATGCGCCCCGGCTGGGCTGCACGGGGACTGCATACACTTGCCGCACACGCTCACTCCATTCACTTCCCATGACACGAGAAGAGAGACAGCAGTGCGCGCAAACAGGGCGAAGGGAGAAGAGAGAGCGGTTGAGGGAGGGAAGGGGGAGGAGAGCAGGGGAGCAACACGCATGTGTCACGGCAGGGAGGAAGGGGCGGGTGGGAGAGTGGCAGGAGAGCAGGCACCTGGTGCAGCATAGAGGGCAGGGCGGCAGTGATGGTGGCAGCGAGCGCCATGCAAGCGTTTTTTTAGGCGCCTCAAAAAGGAGGAGAAAGAGAGAGAGGGGGGGCACCTGGTGCAGCATGGAGGGCAGGGCGGCAGTGACGGTGGCAGCGAGCGCCATGCGAGCGAGCAGAGGCGTGGAGAAGAGGCGCTTCCACTTGATGAGCGGCGATGTGGCGCACCAGAAGTTGGCCACGTGGTCCTCGTACAGGCCTCGACCCAGGGGGAAGAGACGTTTTAGCACCTGGAAAGAGGTGCGGGGGCGGGGGAGGGAGAAGATGAGGCCGCTTCCAACTGATGCTGCTTGCCCCGGCTGTGGGGATGGAAGTGGCGCACCAGAAGTTGGCCACGTGGTCCTCGTACAGGCCTCGACCCAGGGGGAAGAGCCGTGTTAGCACCTGGCAGGAGGAGTGGGGAGAAGTGGGAGGAGGATCATTGCCAGACATCTCAACAATTGTGGTACAGGCCTCGACCCAGAGGGGGACGAGGCAGGATAGCATCTGGCAGGGAAAGGGGGAAGATGTGGGGGGTTGACACGAGGGGGTAATACGAGGGAGTGACACAAGTGGGGGCAAGCGGCATTGAATTTCATTCCCGGTGGTATGTAGCTGGGAGGTGTTTTGGCAGTGATGCAGCCCAGCTGCCCTGGGAAAGGTTGCGTCCAACTGCTGCTGCTCCCCCTGGTCACGTGGGTTGAAGAGGCACACCAGAAGCTAGCTAGCCAGCTGGTCTTCGTACAGGCCAAGACCCAGGGGGACGTTTGAGTCGACTCAAAAGCCACCTGGTCCTCGTACATGCCAAGACCCCAAGACCCAGGGAGAAGAGGCACGAGATTTGACAACCATCATCCTTGTACGGGCTGCGACCCAGGAGGAAGAAACGTGTTATCAACTGGATGAAGGGGTGGCCGGCATTGAGACGTCTTACGAGTGTGCTGCTTGTGCATGCCATGGCCCAGAGGGAAGTGGGAGGGGGAGGGGGAGTGAGAGGAGAGAGCAGAGAGGTGGGAGACGAGAAAGGTGAGAAGTGCGGGGGACAAAGAGGCGGACGGGGAGAAGGCAAGGCGGGGAGGGGAGACACGGGATAGGCTGAGAGAGGGGACAGATTCGGTGCTTCCGCTGCTTGGCATGTAGCGCTCTAAAGAGGTTGTTCCGTGCTGGTGTGGTGCTCGAGCCAGACTTTCAGACATGTGGGTGAGTGGAGGCCTTAACGTGGTGCAGAGCAGAACACACAGACATGCGGGCACACTGTGCAGTGGACGACGCACAGCCACATGGCTACACAGTCCTCGTACAGCCCAGCCCGCCCTACCAAGGGGAAAGAGGCGCTGGCAGCGGGGATGGGCTGGGTAGGAAGACGAGAAATGTGGATTGTGGAAAGGGCGGATTTTGATGCTGAGGGTGCTGGAATATTCAATGGACGGAGAGAGAGAGAAACAAGTGCACCAGGAGGATGGAGTCGGAGGAGTGGAGTGGAGTGGAGTGGAGTGGAGTGGAGTGGAGGAAGGGCCGCCAGCAAGCAGAGCACAAAGGAGAGTTTTGAATCCACTGGAAAGTGGAGCCCACACCACACCACACCACACCACACCACACCACACCACACCACACCACACCACACCACACCTGGAGCATTGAGTCTCACTCATGACTAGAGGCAGGAACGCGCACCTGCAGGGTGGAGTCGGTGGAGTGCAGAAAGGGCCACCAGCATATCAAGACGGATTGTTTTGGGTCAAATGGAAAACGGGGGGCACCTGGAGAGCAGCACGCACCTGGAGAGCAGCACGCACCTGGAGAGCAGCACGCACCTGGAGAGCAGCACGCACCTGGAGGGTGGCGTCGGTGGAGTGCAGGAAGGGCCACCAGCAGGCTGCGAAGGAGAGCAGCACGGTGGCAGCGAGCGAGAGGAACATGAGTGCGGGGCGGGGCGACTGGCGACAGCGACCCAGCAGATGTGCGAAGAAGGCCGGCGCGAAGTAGAGCGCCATCTGTGCTCACATGAATGGGCGGGGTGGGGTGGAGTGTGGTACAGTGGGGTGCGGTGGTAAGGCATTGGATGCGATGGTCGGGTGCAGGAGAGGAATTGGCAAGCAGTGTGTGGGAGTATGAAGAGCAGGTTGTGCAATGCAGTGGCATTGACCAGTGCAGTGATCTGAACCGAACGAGAGAGTCACGTCGGCGAGCCCGTCATGTCAGGGTACTACTCTCATCTCATCTCACTCCCCGTCACTCACTCAGTCCCCCTTGTAACGAGTCTGTTTTTAGTCGATTTGACTCAAAAACAGACTCATCACACGTGAGCCCGTCATGTCAGGGTGCTCTCGTCTCACTTCCCGTCACTCAGTCCCCCTTGCCGTATCACACCCTTCCCCCCCCTCCTCTCCTCACTTGTATCGCCCCAACTCGCCCACGTCCCCTCCGCCCTCCTCCCCTTCCCCCACCTCACCGCGGCTCCAACTAAGCTAATTCCATGCCTTCTTGTCCATGTGGGTGTGGATCAAAAGGTATTTTTTATGCGAAAAGTTAGCTCGATGCCGCGGCGAATGCACGCGTATCACCTATCCCTTGCTCACGTGCTTGAGGTTGGCGGCGAGGGGGTGAAGAGGCATAGTGTGAGCCCGTATGGGGGATAGGTAGGGATGCATTACACAAGTGAGGGGGGGACGAGTGGCGCTCACGTGCTTGTGGTTGATGGCGAGGGAGTAGAGTGCACTGCCCAGCAGGTAGCGCCGAGACATGACGGCCGATGCTGCTGCTTTTGAGTCGACTCAAAAGGTGACTTTTAAGACGACTAGGTAACTTTTTGAGTCGACTCAGAAGAGCGGTGCTCACGTGCTTGTGGTTGATGGCGAGGGAGAAGAGTGCACTGCCCAGCAGGTAGCGCCGAGACATGACGGCCGTTGCTGCCCCTAGCGACAACCCCAGGCTGATGCTGTTGTACTGTGGCGTTGGGGGGGGCGGGGCAGGGAGGGGGGAGGGAGGGAGACAAGGGAGAACAAGGGAGAACAAGGGAGAACAAGGGAGAACAAGGGAGAACAAGGGAGAACAAGGGAGAACAAGGGAGAACAAGGGAGAACAAGGGAGAACAAGGGAGAACAAGGGAGAACAAGGGAGAACAAGGGAGAACAAGGGAGAACAAGGGAGAACAAGGGAGAACAAGGGAGAACAAGGGAGAACAAGGGAGAGGGAGGTGAGAGCAGGTTGGGTTGGGCGGTGGAGCATTTCCTGCTGGTAACGACAGCCCCATTCCGATGATGTTGTACTGTGGCGTTGGAGGAGGGTGAGAGGGGGCCGAGAGGGGAAGGTGAGGGACAAGTGAGGGGCAGAGGGACAGGTGAGGGGTAGGTGACAACGAGGTGTGTGGGGGGGGAAGGGGGAGGGAGTGAGGGTTTGAGGGAATGAGAATGGGCAAGGATGGGTGAGGGAAGAGAGGGAGGGGGGCGAACGTTGCGGGATATGTGTAAGCGGGTACAGACAGGTACGTGCGTGGGCACGTGGAGTGCAGGACTCGCACGTGGAGTGCAGGACTCGCACGTGGAGTGCAGGACTCGCACGTGGTGTGCAGGACTCGCACGTGGAGTGCAGGACTCGCACGTGGAGTGCAGGACTCGCATGTGCGTGGACTCCAGGGCGTAGTGGGGTAGGAGAGTGAGAGATCACTTGGGCACCTGGAATTGCCCGTACCACTTTCAAACTGCCTCCAAAAAAATAGTACAACAAGCATACCTGAAGGCAATATTGCTGAGACGCCTCGAACAGAACCTTCTGAGACGCCTCAAGAGGGCTACGAGAAAGCACACCTGGAAGTGGCTGTGGTCGATGGGGATGAGTCCCGGCAGCAGCAGCAGCAGCAGCAGCGGCGGCGGCGGCGGCGGCGGCGGCGGCGGTGGCGGCAGCAGCAGCAGCATGGCGAGCTTGTGACCCTGTTGAGAATTCCAGGAAGTGACGAGCAGGCCTGGAGTGCTACGAGCATACCTAGAGGAGAGAGCGCAGCATACCTGGAAGTGGCCGTGGTCAATGAGTATGAGTCCCGGCTGCAGCAGCAGCATCGCGAGCAACCACAGGTGGTGGGATGCAGGGCGAGAGGCGGATGGGGAGAGGCGGCGCAGGAAGGGCGAGCAGGCGAAGGCGAGGGCAGCGGGGAAGAAGACAAGCAGGTCCGTGGAGAGCACCGTCCATCGCAGCAGCATTTTGCTGTTGGGGGCGGTGGCCGTGGAGAAGGGACGGGAGAAGGGGAACGGGGAACGGGGGAGGTGGGGAGGGAGATGGCTTGTGATTTTTGAGAATTCTAAGAAAACATGGACTCAAGTGTGAAGCCAAGCAGGTCCGTGAAGAGGTTTGAGACGTCTCAAAACACTTCTTCATACACGTGGGAACGGGGAACGGGGGAGGTGGGGAGGGAGATGGCTTGTGAGTGGACTCAAGTGCGAAGCCGAGCAGGTCCGTGGAGAGCATCGTCAAGCGCAGCAACGCCTTGCTGTGGAGGGGGTGGTTGGGGTGGGGGGGGCGTGGTAGGTGGAGACTGGAGTGGAGTGGAAGGAGAGATAGAGGTGGCTTGTAGCTCTTGAGTCAACTGAATTCTTAAGGCGAGCAGGTCTGTGAAGAGCACTGTCCAGCGCAGCAACGCCTTGCTGTTGGGGGAGGTGTGGGGTGAGCGTGGTGGGTGGGTATGGAGGGGAGGAGCGAAGGTGGAGAGGGGAGAGAGAGGGTAGCAGAGAGGAAGGAGGAGAGAGAGGAGTGCGAGGGAGGAGGGTAGGGGGCGGAGAGGGGGAAGGGAGCAAAGAGGGCAAGGGAGGTGAGGAGCGGCAGGCTGGAAATGATGTGTTGGGAGGGAGGGCGCAGTCGGAAATGCCTGGCATCCGTGAGTGATTGAGTGAGTGAATGCTGCAGTGGCAGTGCTGGTGTTGAGTGCGTGTGTGTGTGGTGTAAGGAGGGGTTGACATGACACTCTGAAAGGGAGCAGCACTTGCGTGTGCACAGAGCTAAACTGCCCTTACTCGACCAGAATTCTTCATTCTCCTCTTCCACCCTCCCCTTACTCTCTTCCTCCATTCTTCCCTCCCCTTCTCCCTCAATTCTCCCCTCTCTTTCCCCCTCCAACCACCCTCCCTTCCCCCTCCATTCGTCCCATCCCATCCCCTTCCACCTACATTCTCTCCACCCCTCACCCCGCCTCACCATCCTCCCCTCTCCCCTTCCCACACCCACACCCACCTGTAATTCGACTCATATCCCCTCGACGACCCCAGGGCAACAGCATCAGGGCACAGGCGGTGCATCACCCATCCGTGCATGCGGCTCTGCCACGCGGTGAGCGGGGGGTAGTCCAGCCCCCACCAGGCGAGGTCGTTGCTGGTGGAGTTGCGGTACCAGCGAGCGGGCGGCAGGTGCACCGTGATCTCCATCCAGTGCCGCTGCGCCTCGTAGTCGCCGTACTTTGGCGGCGTGTGCATGCCTGGAAAAGGGGAGAGGGGGGGGGGGGGAGGGGATGGGGAGGGGGGTGGAAGGGGGAGCAGGAACGGAGGAGTGGGGGGAGCGGGAAGGAGGAAGGGGTGGAGGAAAAGCGGGAGGTGGAAAGGGGAGGAGGAAGAGGGAACGGTGTGAGGAGTTGGGCGGACCGGACATGTTGCGGTACCAGAGAGCGGGCGGCAGGTGCAGCGTGATCTCCATCCAGTGCCGCTGCGCCTCGTAGTCGCCGTACTTTGGCGGGGTGTGCATGCCTGGAAAGGGGAAGGGGGGAAGAGTGGGGGGAAAGAAGGGAAGGAGGAACGGGGAGGAGAAAGGGGAGGAGGAAGAGGATGAGGGAAGGGGGATGAAAAATGGGGAGGAGAAAGCGGATGGGGGAAAGGGGAGGAGAAACGGGATAACGATGTGAGGTTCAAGGGATGGAGCGAGGGGGAAAGGGGGGGCGGGCGGGATGAAAGGGGACGAGGAGGAAGAGGGAGAGCAGCGCTGGGTTGAGTGAGGGTCAGGCGGGAGATGGGGGAGGTCGCGGGGCGAGCGACAGGTGGAAGGTCGGGTGGGGTTGGGGGCGGGGACTGGAGAGGGGACGAGGGAGGAGAAGGGGCGGACTGGCAAAGCAAAGTAGGTGTTAGAAAGAGGGGAGAGGTGCGCGGACCAGCGCTCTACAGGAACGCGGGACGGAGGTGCTGCAGGAACATCTCGCCCCAGCAAAGCACGGAGGTGCCGTACGCAGGCATGCAAGCAAACCGTCGTGATCCATTCGATCCAGTCGCATCTACGCCGCGAGGGAGGTGGCGGCAAAATGCCCCGCGCACATTGTCTCGCTCGCTCTAGCATCACACATGCTCTGCCCTGGCCTACCAGAGTATGGGTGCAGTCCGGTGCAGAGGCGCACCAGCACGGCGAATCCCATCACCAGCGCGCACGCGCCCCACCACATCCGCGCCGCTCGTTGGCTCCCGCCGCCCACCGCCGCCTCGCGAGACCGCGGAGCTACCGCCGCTGCGCTGACCGCCTTCGATCCCGATCCCGAATCTAATTCTGATCTGATTTCTGACCCTGTCTCCTCGCCTTCGTCGGGCAGAAGGAATTCGCAAAATTCGGCAAAGCGGCCCATCGCTCGGGGCGGGCTCGATCGGCGACAACGCGCAGCGAGCAATAGATGGGGCGGGGAGGGGATCCACGACAGGGACGGCAGGGAATGCGGCGCGCACTGTATGACGGTAATATTCTAAACGATCCTGATTCGTCACATGCTTCCCAACCTCGTCCCAGCCTGATCTGATGCCCGAAAACTGAAGCTGTCACAGTAGGCCGTTGCGATCTGCGAAATTGCAGCGGCGGGCGTTTTACCGCGATGCCTCTAGGCGCTGATCTACAGGCATGCGGTACCGGGGGTCGGGGCCGTGTCAAGATTGTGTCCCAACTTCGCTCACCAAGGCCTTGTTCGGTAGGTCCCCAATCCGAGGCGGTTTCTGTTGGCGCTCAACAAAGCGCTGTCCGGGAAACCCTCACTCAGACTGGGATCAGTCGCAGTGGAGAAACCGCTGCAAAGTGTAGCAGCTGATTGCTGGGCGCTGTTCGGCAGGCACTCCACTTGACTGGACCCAGTCGGAATGAAGAAACTGCTCATTAGTTTCCGAACCGAGGTTTGATCGAGGCTTGGGCAAACAGATCTGACATGAAAATCTGTCAGGGCAGCTTCCCTCGGGCGAATCTGTACAAGCTTCAAGTCCTCAAAATCGATATAGGAACACCAAATGTATCCAGTGCGTTTTGGCAACCAAGCATGTTCTTGTAGAAAAGCGTCCTTTCACAGCCACAAAATATCTCGCGAGTCGCCCACAGCAGGTGTCAAAGGTCGTTGACCCTTTTTGACCTTATTCCTTCTTTCTTGCGACCTTCCGATTTTGCATTTTCTTGTGCCGTGTGGCTGGCAGCTGGCACACCGTACACGCTTGCTCTGCGAGAGGATGATCGACCTCCGTTTTGCCGCACGCCGTGCTCCCCACCCCACGCATGGTCGGAGTTTCATTTCGTCCTCTCCCGTCCGGTTGAGCTCGTGAGTTCCATATCTCACTGTGAGTCACGGCCTAGCATCTTACTTACAAATACCAATGGGAGTTCGTTGCAAGGCCGTGACACATCGACAACCCTACAATCTCCTACGCTCATTGCTTAAACAGATTCTATCTCGCCTCAGCTGCCATGGCGCCACCCACGCACATCAATGACCTACCTGACGACGTTCTCACGCAAATCTTCTGGCGCTTCGAGCCGCCCACGCCTAGAAAAGCGGACACCGCCGATTGCTTGTGGGACTCCCACTGCTTGAGTCCCGCCCCAAAGTACCTCTCTGCAAACCTTTCAAACGAGAATGTCACTCGTGAAGAAAAGAAGACGCCGTTACCCATTCCTCCTCCCTCTGCGGACGCGCACCGTATTCTCCTCGTCGCGGCCGTGTGCCGTCGCTGGCGCGGTCTCACTCAGCGTTGCGTCTCCGCGCTTCTCGTCCGAGACAATCTCGCCGTGCCTCGCCAGGCTCTCGCGAGTGCTGTCGCTGCCTTACCGAACCTGACCCATCTCCACCTGTGCGACGGCAGCGTCGAGACTCTCGACGACGCCTTCCTCGCTCACCTCGCGTCGTCAGCTCCCAACCTCGCCATCCTCCACGTCGGACGCAGAATCGCGGAGGTCGAGATGTACGAGCAACCTATTACAACCGCCGGCCTGGATAATTTCTTTCAGCAAAGCACGCGGCTAGAGCAGCTTGCACTCTACGACTTCGACCCATCTGTCGAATTCCCCGCTTCCTTCTTTCTGCTGCCGCATCTGCACACTCTCGCGCTCACACATGCTTCGCCGCTCCAACTTTACAGGATCTCGATTACTGATCCTCTCACCAGCCTGGAACGCCTGGAGATTGTCAATGATTACATGCGCCGTGGCTCGGAACTGCTGACCTATCGATTCGGAGATCTGGTACCTAGGCTCCGCGAGCTCACCCTTCGCCAGAGATTCTGTATATGTGATGTTCCAAGCGCAGAACTGCCTATCACACTTCTATCTCTCCTCAAGAGTTTGATACTTTCAGAGTGCAACTGGCTTCAGAGCCTGCCGTGGTTCGAGATTTCCCGCATGCATGCCCTGAAGACTCTCGTGCTGCACAAGCTGCCTCTCGTAGGCAGCCTACCAGACTCCCTCTGCCACCTGCCCTCTCTCGAGACATTCCTGCTCATCCAATGCGGTTCCACCAGCCATGCGCCCCTCCAGCTGCCTGAAGCTTTTTGCCGCCTCACTACGCTCCAAACTCTCGCCATTGTGAAGACACCTCAGGTGGGGCTTCCGTGGAACTTTGGAGAGCTCTCAAGGCTGCACACTCTGTATTTGAACGGTCATAACCAGCGGCCGCGACTGCCACTCTCCTTCACCCAGTTGACTTCGTTGACCAGGCTTGAACTGAGCTTGTGCACGATTCACGAGCTTCCTGAGGGTTTGGGGAACCTCGCTAACCTGCAGGAGTTGCACATTCGTTCCTGCCCTCTGCTCAAGAAGCTTCCAGAGTCACTGACAAGCCTCTCGAGCCTTGAAACCCTAACGGTTGATGACTGTGTGAAGCTCGTCTCGGTTCCCAGGAGGCTAGACAGCCTTGGGAGGCTCAAATGGCTGGAGCTGACTGGGTGTTATGATCAGACTGAGCCTCCTACGTCTCTGCCGCGCTCCCTCGAGGTCTTGAGTCTTGGAAACAGCTACCACGTGGCTGATCTGCCAGACGTCTCCGTGCTGCCTTGGCTGAGAAAGCTCTCCTTGAAGCTGGTTGGGGCGGAGGAGAGGATGGCTGTGGGCAGCAGGTTGGCGCGCGTGAAGCAGGTGGAGCTGGCGCTGCAGGAGGAGGCTGTGGAGCTGCCCTTCTCCCTTGCGCTGCTCCCCCAGCTGCACACGCTGGTCATGTGGAACGCGGCGAAGATGCAGCGGCTTCCAAGCGACATGGGATGGGCTGTGCCGCAGCTGAGGGTTCTGCAGATCCACTGTGCGCGCGAATTGAGGGAGCTGCCGGACAGCATTGGCGCTGCATCCCGCCTGCACCAGCTGCACCTCTTTGACTGCCCCGCTCTGCACCACCTGCCTGCTTCCCTCACCCAGCTTGCATGCCTCCACCAGCTGCATGTGGAAAACACCGGCCTGCGCTGCCTTCCTTCAGGGTTTGCGCAGTTGTCCAGGCTGCGCAGTCTTAGCTTGCATGATTGTGTACAGTTGCAGGGACTGCCAGAAGATCTTACGGACCTGAAGATGCTGCAATACTTGGGCATTATGAATTGCAGCAAGCATGTGTACGGTGGGTGGGACAGAGAACTGGAATCTTATGGGCCATGTAAGATGCATGGATTGACAGTAGAACGTTAATAGTGGTAGCATTGTATGGCTTTATTGATGGCTGGCTTGACATGTTGGAGAGTAGGATGCCCTAAACTTAAAAACTGCTGCCACCAACCCACACAAGACGAGGGTTGAGGAATCAAACTCTTGATAGTCTTACCGTATCTGATCCCTCTCATCTCCCATCTTCATACATACGTAAGTGAGTGATCTCTGAGGTCCAGCAAAGTCAAGCAAATGTGCATTACGTGAAGCTAATGCTACTTTCTCTGCGATGATATCACCCATCTAATGCTATGTCTACGAGGCAAATATTATTGCTACTGATACTGCTACTGCTACTGCTACTACTACTGCTACTCCTGCTGTTACTGCTGCTGCAACGTTACTGCCACTCCTACTGCCGCTGCTCCTACTACTGCTGCTGCTGCCACTGCCGTTGAGCTACGACTGCTTCTGCAACTACTATTTGTGCCGCTACTGCTCTTCCTGCTGCCGCTGTGCTCGTTGTGATGCCACCAACCTACTCCTCGCCTCATACCCAATGTCATCCGTGGGCAACTCAAACCGGCACATGGGACACGTGTTGCGTATGCCAAGCCACTGCCTGATGCACGCCCCATGGTACAGGTGCCTGCATGGCAGCCTCACCACCTCCTCTCCTACTTCCGCCACTTCATTGCACACGGTACAGCATGCAGCCCCACTCTCCACATCTTCCAAGAGCACGACAACAGCAGGCAAGGCAGCAGCAGCAGACTGAGAAGCTGGAGGGTTTCCGTCCGGCTGTGATACCAGAGAACGTAGAGCAAAGAGAGTGTTCCACATGTTCCGCATGGCTATATCGGTTACCACTTCGCCGTCCCTGATTGAGATGATCTCAATTCTGATGGACACCAAATGTTCGCGCAACCGAATCAGATTGCTCAAAATCGTGTCACGGTCGCGAAATTCAGGTTGAGGCTCAATCTCGCCACCGATATCACTGTCGTGTCGACATCCACTCTTTCGTGTTCATTTGCAATTGCAACCACCGGGTCCTGAACAAGAAACTCTGTTTCAGTCATATCGTTTCCTGACACATTTGGAGGCAAGTTATTATCTGGCACTTGAACTTCTTCCTCGATTGCAACCCCCTGAGTCTGTTCAGTCATACCCACTGATGCATTTGGGCCTTCGTTACAAGCACATACACTCCCACGAACAGCTTGAGTTGCTTCATCTGTACTGTGAGCCTCAAGGATTTCCTCTTCGTCATTCTCTTCCAATGCCGGATTTGAAACCCTAGTTTCAATCACACCATCCAGTTTCGGGTCTTGGGGAGTAGATGTCTGATTGCTGGATAGACTCATGCCAGAAGCAGACAGGCTCATTGCTGATCCTTCTTCTCATGGTAACAAAACCGCTACTACTGCTGCCGTTGCATCACCCGGCAGATTGACACGTTCCATGCCATCATTTGCGGGTTCCACTTGTCTGCTTGTGGTTGGAGGCGAGGGGTTGAAGAGGCCTAGTGTGGGCCCGTATGGGGGATCCATTATACAAGTGAGGGGGGGACGAGTGGCGCTCACGTGCTTGTGGTTGATGGCGAGGGAGAAGAGTGCACTGCCCAGCAGGTAGCGCCGAGACATGACGGCCGATGCCGCTGCTAGAGACAGCCCCAGGCTGATGCTGTTGTACTGTGGCGCTTGGGGGGGAGGGGGGCAGGGATGGGAGAGGGAAAACAAGGGAGACAGAGTCGAGTGGGAGGTGAGAAACTGGTGAGGTAGGGTTCAGAGGGGTTGGGTGGGGTTGGAGGCCCAAGCTGATGCTAATCCACTCTGTTGTGGCGGAAGCTGTGGTAAAAGGGCGGGTGGCGGAGGGGGGGCAGGGGAGGCTTTGCGGAAGTGAAAAAAAGGGGGCTGTGAAGTTTAAGAAAAGAGAGAGAGAGCAGGGAACGGTGCGGGATATGCGTGTTTGCGGATAGAGGTTACTGCATGCGGTGCAGTGCGGGCATGTGTGCAGTGCTGGACGCTAAAGAGAAGAGAGTACATTATGGTTCAGTGCAGTGTCGGCTCAAGCCGTCTACAGCGTAGGAGAGGTCGTGACGAGCATGCCTGGAAGTGGAGGAGGGCGCACCTGGAAGTGGAGGGCGCACCTGGAATTGCCCGTGGTCGATAAGCAAGAGCACTGGCTGCAGCAGCAGCAGCAGCAGCAGCAGTATCAAGGGAAGGCCGGCTTGTGACATTCTTGAGAACAATCAAGCTGGCCATGTTGCTGCTGCTTGTGACGAGCATACCTGGAAGTGGAGGAGGGCGCACCTGGAAGTGGCCGTGGTCGATGAGTATGAGTCCCGGCTGCAGCAGCACCATGGCGAGCTAGTAACACTGTTGATTGAGCCAGCTGGCTCAAACGTGATATGTGCTCCTGGAATTGAGGGCGCACTTGGGAGCGAGCATACATAACTGGAAGTGGAGGAGGGCGCACCTGGAAGTGGAGGAGGGCGCACCTGGAAGTGGCCGTGGTCGATGAGTATGAGGCCCGGCTGCAGCAGCAGCAGCATGGCGAGCAACCACAGGTGGTGGGATGCCGGGCGAGAGGCGGCAGGGGAGAGGCGGCGCAGGAAGGGCGAGTGGGTGAAGGCGAGGCCGGCGGGGAAGAAGACAAGCAGGTCCGTGGAGAGCACCGTCCAGCGCAGCAGCGTTTTGCTGTTTGTAGGGCGTGGAGAAGGGACGGGAGAAGGGTCACGGGGAACAAGGGAGGTGGGGAGAGAGATGTCCTTTTTAGAGTATAATTCTTCCATTTGTTGTGAGTGCCAGTGGATTGGACGCAAGTGTGAAGACGAGCAGGTCCGTGGAGAGCACTGTCCATCGCAGCAGCGCTTTGCTGTTGGCGCGGTGGGCTTGCGCGTGGAGGAGGGGAAACAGGGGGGAGGGGGAACGTGGGGAGGGGGAACGGGGGAAGGGGAAACGGGAAGAGGGGGGTGAGAAGACGACTTTCACGTGGAGTTGATTGTGATGACAAGCACGTCCGTGCAGCGCAGACAGTGTGGGGTGGGCGCATGACGTCCGTCCAGTGCAGTGCAGCAACGCCTTGCTATTGGGGCCATCGGTGCGGGGTGGCCGTGGCCGTGGGCGTGGGCGTGGGCGTGGGCGTGGGCGTGGGCTTGGGCGTGGGCGTGGGCTTGGGCGTGGGCGTGGGCGTGGGCGTGGGCTTGGGCGTGGGCGTGGGCTTGGCGGATGGGTGTGGAGGGGTAGGGGAGAAGAGAGCGCTGAGAAGGAAGAGGGAGGGTTGCAGAGAAGAAGGTGGGGAGGAGCGGGTGTGGTTTGATGTGGTGGGAGTGAGGGCGCGGTCGGAGATCCCTGGTATGCGTGAGTGATTGAATGAGTGAGCGAGTGAACGAGAATGGGTGAATGGCAGAATAACTGAGTGAATGAGTGGTAATGCGGTGGAAGAGCTGTCGATGGAACAGCTGTCGATGGAAGAGCTGTGAAACTAGGGTAAGAAATGCGGGCGCAAGGGGGCAAAGCAGCGCTTGCAAGATCAGAGGGAAGAACGCCCCCTTACTCGCCCACAACTTCTCATCCCATCCCTCCCTCCTCTCTCCATCAAACCCCTGACTCCCTCCCCTGTCCCACCGCTCTCCCCTCCCGTCCCCTCTCCCTCCTTTCCCCTCTCCTCTCCCCTTCCCTTCCCTCTCCTCTCTCCCCTTTCTCCCTCAACCCACCTGTAATCCGACTCATATCCCCGCGACGTCCCCAGAGCAACAGCATCGGGGCACAGGCGGTGCATCACCCAGCTGTGCAATCCTCCCCTTCCCCATCCCTTCTCCCAACACCCACACCCACCTGTAATTCGACTCATATTCTCTCGATGTCCCCAGAGCAACAGCATCGGGGCAGAAGCGGTGCATCAGCCAGCCGTGCATGCGGCTCTGCCACGCGGTGAGCGGGGGGTAGTCCAGCCCCCACCAGGCGAGGTCGTTGCTGGTGGAGTTGCGGTACCAGAGAGCGGGCGGCAGGTGCAGCGTGATCTCCATCCAGTGCCGCTGCGCCTCGTAGTCGCCGTACTTTGGCGGCGTGCGCATGCCTGGAAAAGGGGAGAGAGGGGGAGGAGGGGGGGGGGGGGGGTAATGGGGAGGGGGGTGGAAGGGGGAGCAGGAATGGAGGAGTGGGGGGACTGGGAAGGAGGAAAGGGAGGAAGGGGGAAGGGAAGTGGAACAGGGCGGAGGAAGTGGGGGGCGGGTAGTCGCTGTACTTTGGCAGGGTGTGCATGCCTGGGGGGGAAGGGGGAAAGGGGAAAGGGGGGAGAGGGTGGGGAGCACCAGGAAGGAGAAAGGGGGAGGAGGAATCGGATGGAGGAAAAGGGGATGGGGAAGGTGGAGACGGTGTGACGATCAAGTGGCGCGAGGGCAGAAGAGTGGGTGGGATAAAAGTGGGGACGAGGATGACGAGGGAGAGGAGGGATGGGTTGCGGCGAGGGGCAGGCGGGAGACGGGGGTGCCTGAGGAGGTTGAGATTTGGAAAATGGGGTGGAGAGGGGAGGAGAAAGGGGCCTGGCAAGGCAAGGCAAAAGCAAAGCAGAGCAGAGCGGGTGCCACAAAGAGGAAAGAGCGTGGAACAGTTTGTGAGGCGTCTCAAAAGTCAAAGCAAAGCAGAGAAGAGCAGAGCAGGTGGCACAAAGAGGGGAGAGCGTGTAACAGCGCTGCAGGAACGCGGCAAGGAGGAAGGGTGCTGGCGGAATGCCACTTCCACATACGCGGGTCCAGCAGCAGCAGCAGCAGCACTGGCCTACCCGAGTATGGGTGCAGTCCGGTGCAGAGGCGCACCAGCACGGCGAATCCCATCACCAGCGCGCACGCGCCCCACCACATCCGCGCCGCTCGTTGGCTCCCGCCGCCCCCCGCCGCCTCGCGAGACGGCGGAGCTGCCGCCGCTGCGCGGACCGCCTACGATCCTGATCCCGATCCCGATTCTGATTCTGATTTCGTTTCCGACCCAGTCTCCTCGCCTTCGTCGGGCAGAAGGAATTCGCAGAATTCGGCAAATCGGCCCATCGCTTGGGTGGGGCTCGATCGGCGATAACGCGCAGCGAGCAGCGAGCAACAGATGGGGCGGGGATTCGCGACAGGAACGGCAGGGAATGCGGCACGCACTGTATGACGGTAATATTCTAAAAGATACTGAATCGTCACAGTAGCCGTTGGGATCTGCGAAATTGAAGCGGCGAGAATTTCACCGCAACGCCTCTAGGCGCTGATCCACGACTGTGTCCGAAATTCGAATTTTGTCCTAAATTTTCCGTCAGACTTGGGTGCCTGCCGAACAAGGCCACGAAACTTTCTCTGACCAACCGAGGGTTACGAGAAGGTTTCCTAACTCCCACTTAACACCCGTTTCCAAGTTATTTGAGAACCTCAAGAGGGGCTGAGATGAGTTTACAGGTTTTTCCCCAAATTGCTGGGTGGTCCAAGCCTGATTGGAGGTTCGGCTCAAACCTGGTACCGAAACAAAACGGAACCTGTCGAACCGCCAAGCCACACCGTGTGCCTGTACAACAGCGTCTATCACTGCCGCGAAAATAATTCGCGAGTCAACGGTCGTTGACCCTTTTTAACCCAATCCTCTCTTTCTTGCAACCTTCCGAAATTGTGTATTCTCAGGGTGACAGGCCTACTGTGCATACTTGCTCCACAAGTATGACCCGCGAGTATTATCGAAGCCCATTTTGCCGCACGCCGTGCTCCTCACGCATTGTTAGATTTTCATTTCGTCCTCCTTTCCCGTCCATTTTCCACTTCCATATCCCTCACTACTAATAATTTGAGATAGATGCTAGGTGGTGACGCATTGACTACTCCGCAATCTCCTCCGCTCATCGCTTATACAGTTCTATCTCGTCTCAGCCGATATGGCGCCACCCACGCACATCAATGACCTACCTGACGACATTCTTTCTGAAATCTTCTGGCAATTCGAGCAGCCCACGCCTAGAAAAGCCGCGGGCAGCGATTGCTTGTGGGACTCCCACTGCTTGAGTCCCGCCCCGAAGTACCTCTCTGCAGACCTTTCAAACGAGAATGTCATTCGTGAGGGGAAGAAGACGCCATTACCCATTCCTCCTCCCTCCGCGGACGCGCACCGTATTCTCCTCGTCGCGGCCGTGTGCCGTCGCTGGCGCGGTCTCACTCAGCGTTGCGTCTCCGCGCTTCTCGTCCGAGACAATCTCGCCGTGCCTCGCCAGGCTCTCGCGAGTGCTGTCGCTGCCTTACCGAACCTGACCCATCTCCACCTCTGCGACGGCAGCGTCGAGACTCTCGACGACGCCTTCCTCGCTCACCTCGCGTCGTCAGCTCCCAACCTCGCCATCCTCCACGTCGGACACAGAATCGCGGCGCCTGTGGACTCTGGAAATTATTTTGACAGGGAGGTCGAGAAGTACGAGCAACCTATTACAACCGCCGGCCTGGATAATTTCTTTCAGCAAAGCACGCGGCTAGAGCAGCTTGCACTCTACGACGTCGACCCATCTGTCGAATTCCCCGCTTCCTTCTTTCTGCTGCCACATCTGCACACTCTCGCGCTCACACATGCTTCGCCGCTCCAACTTGAAAATACCGGTTACAGGTACTCGTTTTTTGACTCTCTCACCAGGCTGGAACGCCTGGAGATTGTAAATGATTACATGCGCCCTGACTCGGAACTGCTGACCTATCGATTCGGAGAGCTGGTACCTAGGCTCCGCGAGCTCACCCTTCGCCAGAGATTCTGGCGATGTGATGTTGGAAGCGCAGAACTGCCTATCACACTTCTAACTCTCCTCAAGAGTTTGATACTTTCAGAGTGCAACTGGCTTCAGAGCCTGCCGTGGTTCGAGATTTCCCGCATGCATGCCCTGAAGACTCTCGTGCTGCACAAGCTGCCTCTCGTAGGCAGCCTACCAGACTCCCTCTGCCACCTGCCCTCTCTCGAGACATTCCTGCTCATCCAATGCGGTTCCACCAGCCATGCGCCCCTCCAGCTGCCCGAAGCTTTTTGCCGCCTCACTACGCTCCAAACTCTCGCCATTGTGAAGACGCCTCAGGTGGGGCTTCCGTGGAACATTGGAGAGCTCTCAAGGCTGCACACTCTGTATTTGAACGGTCATAACCAGCGGCCGCGACTGCCACTCTCCTTCACCCAGTTGACTTCGTTGACCAGGCTTGAACTGAGCTTGTGCACGATTTGCGAGCTTCCTGAGGGTTTGGGGAACCTCGCAAACCTGCAGGAGTTGCACATTCGTTCCTGCCCTCTGCTCAGGAAGCTTCCAGAGTCACTGACAAGCCTCTCGAGCCTTGAAACCCTAACGGTTGATGACTGTGTGAAGCTCGTCTCGGTTCCCAGGAGGCTAGACAGCCTTGGGAGGCTCAAATGGCTGGAGCTGACTGGGTGTTATGATCAGACTGAGCCTCCTACGTCTCTGCCGCGCTCCCTCGAGGTCTTGAGTCTTGGAAACAGCTACCACGTGGCTGATCTGCCAGACGTCTCCGTGCTGCCTTGGCTGAGAAAGCTCTCCTTGAAGCTGGTTGGGGCGGAGGAGAGGATGGCTGTGGGCAGCAGGTTGGCGCGCGTGAAGCAGGTGGAGCTGGCGCTGCAGGAGGAGGCTGTGGAGCTGCCCTTCTCCCTTGCGCTGCTCCCGCAGCTGCACACGCTGGTCATGTGGAACGCGGGGAAGATGCAGCGGCTTCCAAGCGACATGGGATGGGCTGTGCCGCAGCTGAGGGTTCTGCAGATCCACTGTGCGCGGGAATTGAGGGAGCTGCCGGACAGCATTGGCGCTGCATCCCGCCTGCACCAGCTGCACCTCTTTGACTGCCCCGCTCTGCACCACCTGCCTGCTTCCCTCACCCAGCTTGCATGCCTCCACCAGCTGCATGTGGAAAACACCGGCCTGCGCTGCCTTCCTTCAGGGTTTGCGCAGTTGTCCAGGCTGCGCAGTCTTAGCTTGCATGATTGTGTGCGGCTGCAAGGACTGCCAGAGGATCTCACGGAGCTGAAAACGTTGCGATACTTGGGCATTAGAAATTGCGGATAGCATATGCATGGTGGGTGGGAGATGCAAGGATTGACAGTAGAACGTGATTAGTGGTACTAATTTGCCACTGATACTGCTGCTACTGCTACCGCTACTGCTACTGCCACTCTACTGAAACTGCAACTGCCACTGCTACTGCTACTGCTGCTACTGCCACTGCTACTGCTACTGCTACTGCTACTGCCACTGCTACTGCTACTGCTACTGCCACTGCCACTGCTACTGCTACTGCTATTGCTATTGCTACTGCTTCTGCTACTGCTACTGCTACTGCTACTGCTACTGCTACTGCTACTGCTACTGCTAGTGCTCCTGCTACTGCTACTGCTACTGCTACTGCTGCTCCTGCTGCTGTTCTGCCACTGCTGTTGATGCTACTGTTCCTGCTGCTACTGTTCGTGCTGCTACTGCTCTCCCTGCTGCCGCTGGGCTCGTTGTGCTGTCATCAGCCCGGTCCTCGCCTCATACCCATTGTCATCCGTGGGCAGCTCAAACCGGCACATGGGACACGTGTTCCGCACGCCAAGCCACTGCCTGATGCACGCCCCATGGTACAGGTGCCTGCATGGCAGCCTCACCACCTCCTCTCCTACTTCCGCTACTTCATTGCACACGGTACAGCATGCAGCCCCACTCTCCACATCTTCCAAGAGCACGACGACAGCAGGCAAGGCAGCAACAGCAGACTGAGAAGCTGGAGGGTTTCCTTCTGGCCTCGTTATCAGAGAATGTAGAGTAGATAGAGTGTTCCTCATGTTCCGCATGGCTTGATCGAGCTCCGATTCGCCCTCCATTATTAAGATTAGTTCGACTCTGATGGACAACAACCGTCGGCGTAACTGCTGTAAATTGCTTATAATGAAGCCTCTGTCGCGAATTTCTGCTTGAACCCCATCATCTTCACCCGTGTCATGTTCGGTATCCTCCGCTCCGCGATCTTCGTCTCCACTCACCGGGTCTTGAACAGAAACCCCCGTTTCAGTCACATTGTTTCCTTGCATGTTTCGAGACAAGTTAGCCTCCACCACTTCGACTTCTTCCTCAAAAGCAATGCCTTCAGTCTGTTCAGTCATAACCATCGATACATTCGTGCCTTCGTTACAAGCACATTCACTGCCACCAACAGCTTCATTCGTCTCAGCTGCATCATTGTGAACCTCCAGCGTCTCCTCCACGTGATCCTCTTCCAATGCTGGATTCGGATCCCTAGCTTCAGTCACACCAGCCATTTTCGGGTCTCCAGAAGTAAATGCCGTCTGACTGGGGAGAATCATGCCAGAAGCAGACACCCTCGTTGCTGGTCCTTCTTGTGATAGTGGTGAGACCGCTACTGCTGCTGCTCTTGCATCACCAGGCAAATTGGCGCGCTCTATGCCATCATCTGCGAGTTCAACTTGTCTGATATGATTCCCACCTGCATTGAAACGCCTCAGAATCCTGTCCGCAGCTCCCAAGGTTGTCTCAATATCTGTAAACGTGTACGAGGGTTCCGAGCCCGAAGGATTTGAAGCTCGAGATGCGTGAGAAGCAACATCAGAAACACGATTCTGAGTCAATCTTAGGTGACTTCGCCTGAAGAGTGCTGCAGCTTCAAATTCTGCAGCAGTTTCGGTAGCTTCCTCAACAGGATATTCTCCTCCACGATCTGTTCGTCTGGCAATGCTCCCCCCTCCAGTAAAACGCCTCAGATTTCTTTCAGAAGCCCCCAGAGGCTCATCTATTTCCATGAACGAGACGTTGGAGCTGCGAGAATTCGCGCCTGGAGAAGCGCCAGAATCAACATCAGATGTTAGTCTCTGATTCACTGAAGATAAAGCTCGTCCCTGAAGTGTTACCGCAGCCTCTGATTCAGCAGCACCCATGTGCACTCGTCGCTGCTAGTATTGAGGTCAGTAACAAATTCTGACTCTTCAGCCGGCTGGTAGCCAAAACCCGACGTAGCACACTGCAGTGAGGCCTCCTTTGACGTATCAAAGCTTTCAGAATTCGTCCCAGGAAACCACATAAGCTTCCTGAACATCGATGAGAAGCAGCGTCAGCAGCATTGAAGTTCTCGACGAAACTGTAGTTGCAAACTGGACAAAGAAGTACGTCGAATTTAGATGGGGATGGCGCTTGGAAGCAGACGGTAAGACAACACTTGTAGCACCGAAAAAAAGGATGCAGCCGCTCTGTTTGCAAAGCTGCTTTGTCGTAGAAAATCAGATCCGCCTTATATTCTGCTAAGTAGCTATCCCGTCTTGAGCCTTGTTCATACGACGAACGGCCTTAAAAAAGATTGAATCAGCACCAGTGACGACAGGTAATGTTTTGACTGCCAGATTAGCCATGACTTATAAACCATGACGAGGAAACAACCAAGCTACTTCAGTTGCTAAAATAGGAGGTGAGAGGTTCCGGAAACCATCCTTGCAACCATGAACTAGCAAGGTGATGTTGGAGCAAGCATTCATGGTGTTTCGGATTAGCACTGATTACAGATGGCTAGGATGCCAGAAAACACCATTTGGGACCACATGGTGCATTTGCTGCTGCTGTCATCTCTGAGACGCGAAACGGTGAACTGACACGTGAGAAGGCTATGACTTGCCAAGCTTGCGAGAAGTTTACAGTATAGCTCAACCACCACAAACATTGTATATCCAGAAATATATACAGTATCATATTTATTCTTACTGTACACAACAAAATATTGTTTCAGGTTACGCCAACAAAATATTGACAATGATATTAGAACGAGTCGTCTTTTGCATCAATTTCACCTTGCCAGACAGATTCCTTCAACAGGAAAAGCAAGGCTCGTGCATTTTTTACCAGCTCCCTCTCGTCAACCCCTTTCTTGATCACCTCATCAGAATGGCCCTCTCCCACGCTAAGGGTAATCCTTGCTAGTGGTGGCAATGCACCCTCGCCAACCAGAGCAACAGCAGACAAGAATCCCCCGACCACAAGATCCCTCATCACCTTCACAGCTGCTCCTCTCGCCCGCACACACGGTCCCTCCACCACCTCCAACAGTGCTGCTGCACTCCCTGCCACGTCAGCGATCGCCTTTCGCCCATGTGGCCAGCGTGAAAGGCAATTCAACAGGCCCATTGCATGTGCATCCATACCCTGCACTCTGCTCCCAAGCATACCTATGCCTGCCTCTGTCACCCCATGCAATATCGTATCCTCAACACACGACGGTGCATCTCCCACCAGGTATGTCAGGATGCGAGCAATATCTGCTGCCATTTCGGCAGCTGCTCCCGCCTCAGCACCCACATCTCCACTCGCATCAACCGCCATCTCATAAATATTCTGTACTGTGCGAGGGTGCGGCTTCCTGAGTGCCTCCCTGTGTCCCCTGGCCAGTGACAGCAGGGCGGGCACGGCTCCACACTCCCACGCTGCATACCCGCCATTGCGATGCTCCATGACGAGCAGCAGCAGGGCCTTGACAGCAGCAGCCTTTATTTCCATGGTTGTGGATTCACCCAAAAGCAAATCCACCAGCTGCTGTGCACCATCATGCACCAACCTCTCCTCACCCACAGTATCCTCCCCTTCACCCTCCCCCTCTGCCTCCAGTTCACCTTTCTCCCCTAGCTTCACCTTTCCACAGCTGCCGCCGCCGCCGCTGCTACGATCAGCACCACCACCTTCCAAACCAACTCCACCATCATCACCACCGCCAGCACCACCACCATTTCCCCCCTCCTTCCTCCCTGCTCCAGTGCCCTTCCTCACAGCACCCACTCCCTCCAGCAGTCCGGGGAGAGGCTTCACCAGTGAGTTGCTCCTGGCGGGCAGGCTGCAGCGCTTGTGCAGGAGAGACGCGGGAGTGGGGGACGGCAGCAGGGCGTTGGAGGAGCGTGAAGACCGCAGCATCCTCGCCTGGGATCCTCCTCCTCCTCCACCCTTGGGCCTCTCTACTGAACCCCCCTCGCCCCCGTCCCGGTCGCCGATCCCGCTCCCACCTCCTCCCGCGCCCCCACTCACAGCCCTGCACTGCACACTCAGCACACCCTGCTCCATGACGCTGCCCGCGCCCTCACCCGCTCTTACCCGCCCTGCCTTGCTCGCCTGGATGTTGCTGCGGGGGCTGGGTGCGCCCGGCCTGAGCGGCCTGGCACCAGGCGACGTGGACGTCACGATGACTTGAGACGGGGAGCGCCGGTGCTGCTGCTGCTGCTGTGGGTTGGAGTGCTGGTTGTTGCGGTAGGTGTGAGTGTGGTGCTGCTGGTTCTGGAGATAGTCGGAGGACGTGGATGGAGGCAGGCAGGAGGGGTGCAGGTGAGGGACGTTGGGGGGCATGGCACGCAGGGCGGATAGAGGGGCAGAAAGGCTGCGGCTGAGCATGTGCGGGGTGCAGTGGGATGGAGTCACTTTCGTACTGGCTGATAGCAATCTCCCCGCTCCGTTTCCGGTTGCTGTTGCTGCTGCTGTTGATGATCCTCTGGCCAAGTTCGTAGCACTGCCAACAAACGCTGCACCACCAACACCCCTTCCCTGATCGCCTCGTCCCGTGTTCACGGCGGCCCTTTTCCCCTGCTGCATCGGCTCAGAATCCACCACCACCACCTCCTCGTTCACCCCTCCTCCTCCTCCCTTCCCACTCTGCAGATTGCCATTAGCAGTGAGGCCGGCTTTACCCAGCACCAGCGGGCGCACTCCCCTGCCTCTGCCACCAAAACTGCTCTCGTTCGCTGCCTGGTAGTGCGAAAGCTTCTTGTCGGGTGGGGAAAGGGACAGGGATAGGGAGTGAGAGTATTTGATAGAAGGAGAGAGAGGGTCCTTAGAGAGAGGAGGGCGAATGCTCATCGGGGTGCTGATGCTGGTAGACCGAGTGTGTAGCGGCGGTGGGCGAGGGGCAGAGGATGGGAGGGAGGGGCAGGTGAGTGGAGGCGGGAGAAAGGAAGGCCTGGCAAGTGGTGGCGGCGGCTGCTGTTGCTGCTGAAGTGAACCGCTGGATAGCATTACCTTACGTAGCTGCGACTGTTTGGGCTGTTTCGATCCGTTCGGCTGCCCTGCCGGCTGCTTGTTGTCTGCCCGTAACGCTGCGGGCTGCACAGCAGCCTGGCCTCCCATCTGCCTCGTAGTCACCTGCCCTGGTGCCTTCTCCACAGCAGCTACCATCTGACTACTACCTGTCACGCAAACCCCCTGCGAGTCATCCACCTTTGGAGGAGCCTTCGATCCACCCTCTGCGTTCTTCCCGCTCACTTCCTCCTCCCTTGGGCCACCTTTCTCCTCCTCTCCTGCTTTTGCAGCAGCTTGTCCTTGTGCGCGCGGGGTGCTGCTGCTGCTGCCTGCACTTGCTGCTGCATCCGCCTGAGCTGCCATGTTAGCACCACTCCCGGCTCTGCTTGCAGCGCCGTCAGCACCAGGCGATGCCCCTGCTATGCTCCACACGCCCGGAGAGGGAGCTCCAACCTGCAGCGACAGCTGCACGTGGGACTTGCACCCGCCGCCACTGCCCATGCCACGCCCACGCCCCGCTCCCCGCCCGCCAGCGCGGCCACGAGTAGCAGCAGCAGCACGGGTGGCAGCAGGAGCTGCGGCAAGTACTCTCCCTCTCGCCCCTTCACATGGCACGCCGGATATCGAAGGATGCGTGGAGGGCAGGCAGCCTTCTGATCGCACCGGTTGGAGCTGGTTAGTAGCGGCAGCAGCAAGACGCAGAGGTTGGCGTGCGGTTGTGCTCGCCTGCTTTGATGTCTGCCCGCCTCGAGGCCCGCCTGCAGGCACAGCGGGTGTGCCACGAGCGCTGACAACGGCAGCACGAGCTGCAGGCTTGGACTGGCACGAGCCCTTGTCCTCCGGAACGCCCTCGGTGGGGGCTTGGCTTGTGGCTGCCTCAGAGCTGGTGATTTGATTGCTCATCTTCGCCTGCTGCTGTTGCGATAGCTGTGGTTGTTGCTGCTTCTGGGTTTCCTCGTGCTTCCTTTCGTGCAGCAGCGACAGCGGACCTTGAGGAGACACAGCGTCCTCAGCTGATTGCTGCAAGCACGCACTCCCTTTGCTCTCGCCGCCGCTGCTGCCCCCACGGCCTGGTGACGTCAGAGCACAACTCGCAGGCCCGTTTGCGGTCAACGAGCTGCTTCTTGCCAGTAGCTTGGACGGCTGGCGGACAACTGACGGCTGTCCGGCCGGAGGTGCGGTAGGCTTAACGGCAGATGCTACGGCTGAAGCGGATTGGGCGTTGAGATTACGCCCGGCAGGGACTCGACAATTGGAATTTCCGCTCTGCTGATTTCCGTTGGAATTTAAGGCAGACTCGCGGCTTCTAGGGCTGGCGGAAACAGGAGGGAGAAATTTGAGGCCCGCGGAGGGAGTGGGGCAAGCGTGGGGGGAGGAAGCGAAGGCGGGGGAGGAGGAGGTGGAGCGGGGGAACGCGGCGGCGGAAGAAGGTGAGGTGTGTGAGGAGGTGGAGAGCGGTGGAGGGGAGGTACTGGCGGAAGAGGAAGACGAGGACGGGGAGAAAAGGCAACTTGCCCTTGACGGGAAAGGAAGAGGCGGAAAAGGGGTGCGCGTGGGCGCTGCATCCCCCGCGGGGCGGATTGTGGGGGAGAAGGCGGAGGAGGGGGATGGAGAGGGGGAAGCGGCGGAGCTGGTGGGTGAATCGGGGAGCGACGGAGACGGGCAGCGGCGGGGAGAGGAAACAGTGAAGGACTTTTCCAGAGAGGCGGGAGGTGATTGAAAGCTCACGCCGCGCCGGCCGCCGGGGCTGTTCGCGCCATGGCCGGCGCCGTGACTGTTCCCGCCGCGACTGACGCTGATGCTGAAACTGCTGCTGCGACCCGAGGCGCTAGTCACTAGCGCAACGGTGGCGCTGCTAGTAGTAATCGTTGTGTTACCGCTGGCGGCGTGCGACGCCAGCCACGAGGTGATGAGCTCTTTTAGCGCTATGTTCGGCACGATCTGCGCGTGGGGCAGCGCTGCGCCGGTCGCGGGGCAGGTTGCCGCCTGCGGACCCGGCGCGCGCAGCCACTGCAGGATGTGCGCGCGCTCGTAGGTGCAGCCCGACGCGACGATGACCGGGTCCAGCATGACGCGCCCCGACAGCGGGCAGAAGAACTCCCGCGGAGCTCTTGCGCGCGTGGACTCCGCGGCTGCCGCGGACGAGCCCGTCTGGATCATGGCGCCGGCAGCGATGATATCCTAGATTCCACTAGTGTTAGATTCTAGTACTACTGGAAGTTGTGAAGCGATTGAGAGGTACTTAAGTCTATGTTAGGCCAAACAAGCCTGAGTGGAGACGCAATGCGAGGTCGATGAGAAGTACTACGTTCTCGAGAGGAAGAATCGACGAACGATGAGACGGTGCTTAGCAGTCGCTGCTGCTTGGGGTTCCCGTTCCTTTTTAGTAGAACTAGCTCTACTGAAACTCTGGCAGCCTTAGACGGTCTGAAATGGTCACTGCTCGAGCCTCCCACCATGATTGAGCCAATGCCGATTTTGCAAACTCAAAAGCAAGCGCGAGAGCGTCATAACAGTCAGCAAAAATCAGCAACAGAAGGACCCTAACAACGAGTATTCGTCCCACCCGCGCATCATTGCTCCTACTGGCGTGAGGCGTTGCGTGCGGTGCTCAGACGCAAGGTCAAACAATTTGTGGCCAAAGTGAGGGAGGCAAAAGATTCTGATGAGCGCGCTCTCGCGGGGTGGTTGGAGATATTTTTGATCAGTCCGAACGTCGCGCTTCGCCTTTTTGTGGGCATTGATTTCCAGAAGGCAGGGGAAGCAAGGACGCTTTTTGCGACTGATGCAGTGCTGTGCTGCTGTTGTGTGGAGCATACAGACAGTGCTTGGGTTGTGGTGGAATGCCTTCGGGTTCGTGGCATTCCCCATTCCACCCACATACAATGATACGGTTCGGCTACACGAAGCGCATCCTGGTCGGCATTCGCCACGTGCCTCTTATACGACGCAAGCGAAGAGGTGCTGGCAGCAGGTGACTCATTCTCATGGTCGCCCATTCGCCACAAGCAATTTTCTGGGCTGTACAATTCGCCAACTCGTTTTCGCGTACCAGCAGTTGTGTGTCGTGTTTCGTGACGGCGCACGACGAGCGTCGTTTGGGTTCATCAACACGGGTTGCTGCTGCTATCCAACTGTCTGGCGTGCCACATTCCCTTTCGAAGGGGCATGCAAACCGTCAAGGGGGAATCAAGTTCCGAAGATGTGCGGCAAAGGATACAGTTTGTCATTTTTTTTCGCCACTATGATTTCCAGGTGCATCAAATCGGGGCCAAGAAGCTAATTGCATCCATCCACAAAATCGAGTGCCTTTCAATCGGGTATATTTAACGCCTGTAGTGGTATGCCCCAGGAAGTACAGTGAGCAAGGTCCGCAGCATCATTTGCGCTAAATATTTCGGCATACACCAGGTTGTTTCCTTCCAAGCGCCACCAGGACATTCCCTCCCACTCCTTTGCATTCCCAGTCTAACCAAGGCACCATAAAACAGCTGAGCCTTCGGGAGCCACCCTGAAAAATGTATGTGGTAACATGCGATCCGATCTCTTTTTGTTCAGGTTCCTCCCGCCACAAATGTTTGCGCAGTCCACGGAGCCCAAACCCACAGTTCTTCAGGATCTTGACTGTATGCGCCTCGGCGAGCTCTTGACTTAAAACCCGCAGGCCAAGAAGGCCAAATTTGGTTCATCCTTCCTAGCGTTGGTTGGATGTCCCAAAAATGCCTGTGATCATTCCCGAATTCTAGACCTCGTCCAACATTTCGGACACTCCTATTGGTTCGCAGGCCTTTTGCGTTTTCACTCCCAACCAACCTTCCTAAGGTTGAAATTCTTGGCCTGCGGGTTTTAACAGTCACTCTCTCGATCCAGTTCGCCCACAGTTCACACTGCATGGGGCCTTTCCGCGACTACAAAGCGCCGCCAAAATCCACAATTTCACAAAGCGAGTTTGTGTAAGCTCATCAAGATCAGGGTATTTTTACTTCTTTCAGGCTTCGCTTTCCGACAGCGTATGCTCAGCGCAGGCATGGCGAAGCAAGCAGTGCTAGCTCTGTGCCTGGCGGCGCTGGTGTTGACAGCGAGCGCCGACGACCCGTTCAATTCGTCGAACAACAAGCCGGTGAACGCGGAGAAGGAGAAGGCGGAGGGCCCTTACGGGACCGTCTCAGATGTGAGCCCTGCCATCGTGAAGCAAGCTACGGCGGGCGACGCGACGGGTGTTACCGTGGTGTCGACGGCAACCGACTCGATGCTGTTCGCGGACGCTAAGACGGCCGGGTGGAACAAGATGGAGTGCCACGCGGAGCTGAAGCCTCACGCCGGCGCGTGCACGCCCGCCAACTGCAGCAAGGGCGGCATTCCCGCCAAGTGGAAGACGTCGAACCTGCTCAAGAACAAGATCGGTGTGGAGGTGTACGTGAAGGGTAACCCGCTGACGGTTAAGAAGGCGTCCCCTCAGACGTGCTGCAACACGTGCGCGTCGACCAAGGGGTGCACGTACTGGCAGTACATTCCCGACATCACGCTCGACAAAAAGAAGACCGACGGCGCGTGCTTTATGGTGAAGGACGATATCGACTACACGTGCGGCGAGATCATCGCGCAATACGCGACGGAGACGAAGCCCCTCCACCTGCAGGTGCGCACGGGCGGCGAGTGCAATACGGCGTCGGAGATCGTCAACGACCCGCATCTGGTGGGCGCGTACGGCACGCACTTCGACTTCAACGGCCGCCCCGACGCCGCATTCTGCCTGCTGACGGACCGCGAGCTGCACGTGAACATGCTGCTGCGCGGGTACTACAGCGACGACACTGAGAACGCGGCGCTGGTTGTGGACGGCAAGGCCGTGCACACGTGGATCAAGGAGCTGGGCATCGTGTGGCTCGCCGACGGCGTGGATCACAAGATCCGGCTCGCGGCGCGCAGCGGCAAGCAGCAGGAGCGCGGGTCGGGGTTCATGAAGGCGATCGAGATCGACGGCGAGGCGATTCCGCGCATGCGCGTGGGCGACGTGGTGACGTCAGTGGGCGGGCTGACGCTGACGTTCAAGGCGCTGGAGAAGGAGGGCCCGTATGACGTGGACTACTACACGCTGGACATCGAGGGGCTGGTGACGCTCGACATGCGGCTGCGCGTGGCGAACCCGAAGCTGCAGACGCCGACCGAGGCGGAGGCGCACATCAACGTGGGCATTGTGGAGCTGTCGCACACGGACGAGATCCATGGCATGCTGGGCCAGACGTACCGCGAGGACCACGCGCAGAGGGCCGCGGACTTCCAGAAGATGATCGCGTCGCTGCACCGCCCCATCTCCGCCGACGGCGCTGAGGGCGAGGGCTTCCTCGACGGCAACTCGCGGTCGTATGAGACGAGCTCCGTCCTCGCTGTTGACTGCTCCCACACCACTTACCGCCACGCCAAGAAGCTCAGCCCTGTTGAGTACCCAGTTGGTTTTCCGTAGACCGACGGGAACGTTGGTTCCCCTTTGTTCTCTCTTCTGGTGGGCTGATTATAGGTGGGCTGATGGGTGGGCTGATTTTTAGCTTGTGCAAAGCTACAAGCGACTGTAATATAATTTGATTTAATATAACTTATAATTTGTTTATACGACAGATTGAAAGTTCCAAAAATGGTAACACATTATCTTCGCTTAACCTAAATACATGGAATTTCTCACATTTGCCCGTCCTAGCGTGTGTTGGAAATTTTCCTAATTACGCTTCTCCGCGTCGCGCCTTCAGACCATGGCATCTCTCCCTATACCGTACCAGCGCGCCCTGTCAGCCAACCCACTATACCTTTTATTGGCATGGATCGTTTAGAGGTTTGGGTCGCTCCCTCCCAGGGCCTTCTTTTGGTTTTTCTGTACTCTGGTTTTCAGAGTAGTTTTTATGCGAACTCTGAAATCCAGAGTGGTTCCAGCGCCTTACTCTGAGCTGACAGAGTAACCCTATTACGTGGATTAAAAACCCTGGCACGTCAGAGTAATTTTTTTTTGTACTCTGATCGTAGTATAAAATGTTGTGTGAGAAGTATGGAATGGGAGTATTGTTTTTCCAACTGTTTTGCGTTTTGTTGTCACTCACACGGTTTAGTTCAGTCACGAATGTATTTCATAATTGAATGTAATATAGGAAATCCGATACTAACTAACTAATAAAGAGGAGGCCCTTGGGCTACACTAGTAGTAGTCATCCTCGCCCTCCGATTCCGCATCAGACTCGATCTTCGCCTTCCCCCTTGCGCAAACTGGTGCGCCGTGCGCAGGTTTCTTGGCGGGGCGACGCTTCTTCTGATTGCGCCAGATGTCAACGACTTCATGCCACACGAAGTCGCACTGGAGCATGTGGATGCTCATCAGCTCTGTCAGACGAGCGTCGTTGAGTGACGTGCGTATCCAGCTCTTGATGACGTTCTGCCTGCTGAACCCACGTTCGCACTCAACAGTGCTGAGCGGTAGCACGGACAACGCCTGCCACATCAGCATCAGGTTGGGGTACGTGCGAGCCCAGTCGCGCGTCTTCAGCATGTTTTGGAGCCCCTGATGAAAGTCCTCGTCCTCGTGGTGGTTCTTGAGGATGTGGCAGAACGTCTTCAGCTCGAGCTCTGCTGCCCGCAAGCAGGGCCTCAGATTCCAGGAATTTTACCCTGATTTCCTGATGTTTGACCCCGGTTTTTTATTGTAACCCTGATGAATCAGCCTTTTTGTTTTTACAACCCTGATGAATCAGTGTTTTTCTTTTCCTAATCCTGATTTTCCAGTGTTTCTAGTTTGTCGACACTGACGAGTCAGTGTTGTATCGGAGACGACCCTGAAACCGAAAACTCCGTGATTCTCGCAGTTTTGCGCGCCGTCATCATGCATGAACCCACCCTGCACCGACGCCACCCTGCGGCGCGCCCAGATACAGTTGAACGGGTTAATTTCGGGCTGTGTTGGCAAAACGGCGTAAAGAGATTGGCTGTCCCAGCTGAAGCAATGTACCGTTGTCACGTTGGATAACCTACACTTGCCATTACTTTCCATTGATGTGCACAAACAACCAAGCCTAGTGGCCCAGTGGGCCAGTGGTCTGCCTTGTTCTTTCCACCAAGGCAGGGCGTGCTGGGGCGGCCCGCTCAGGCACCCCACGCAGGGGGTCTCGTGATTCTGCCATTCCAGCTCTCCAGACTCTATCCCTTTCCGAAACATCAATCTCTGCAATCTCCCTGAAGCCTGCTCGGCAGGCTCTCTCTCTCCCAGGGTTTCTCGTTACTACTCACCGATTCAGGAAGGTGACGTGAACGCGCCATGGCGATCACCGGTGAGAACAGCTGCGGTGATGATGACGACGATGCACTTTACGCCGCCACCGAGATGCTGGAGGCCAGAACGGGACTAGATTTTCTAGTTTCCGCGCTCTCCCATGAAAAAGAGAAGCCAGGTCCCGTCGCCTCAGTAGCAAACACTGGTGAAGCGTCTGGCCTCTGCCGCGGAGACGATCGTCCCCAGCCCGCGCATACTGCTAAGCCGGCCGTGCCGTCAGCAGCCGGACCGAGCGTCCGCTTGCCATCTCGTGCGTCGTCGTCGAAGCCTCCGCCTCATTACAAGCAGGCCGTGCTCCGTTGGGCCGATCCTACAGATCCTGGACGTCCTCTCGCTGATGCCGGCGAGTCGGTAAACCACGTTACGCCCACGCCATCTAACTCTAAAAAACCGTCACTAACCACTCTGATTTACGAAGAGGCCCTTGAAACGTTCAAGTCGACGTGGTCGACCGACTACCCATGGCTCATCCTCATAAAAAACACTGCTGGCATGCCTGCGTTCAAGTGCAGATTGTGCATCGACTTTGCAGGTGACGGTGGCAAGTGTGGCAAGAGTGGGCACGGTGCAACCGATCTTCAGACCCAAGCCTTCAAGCGGCATGCCGCGACGAACAAGCACCAGTTGGCCATCAATCACCAGAAGCAGATGCTAGCTCAGGCTGGGATGCGCGGCTGTCGGACCTCATGTGCATGGCATTGCTGCCGTACGAGCCCGACTGGGCGGAGGTGGTGAAGATCTGGAGGGCGTACAAGAAGCGCAAGCCCATCACAACAGTGGCAGCACCAAAGAAGCAACCTAGTGCTAAGGAGAAAGAGAAGGTGGACGAGGATGATTCTGGTGGTGCTGGCTCTGGGTGGGGGACAGAGACCCCCGTGCACAGGCACGGTTCTATGAGCGATGGTGGTGGTAGTGACGAAGATGAAGACATGTGTGTGATGTGAATTGTGTGTGCGGTGTGAGCGCCAAGTGGTATGTGCCTGTAGTTAGATTAGAAGCTCATTAGAACCATATTTGAACTTTTCTTAACTTATTATACTTGTGATACCGGTAGTTGTTGTGGATTCTCACCGCCAGTGTTTTTTTAAAACTCACGCTGATGTGTCAGGGTTTTTTTTTTTCTAACCCTGAGAAATCAGTGTTTCTCCATTTACAACCCTGATGATCAGTGTTACAGCCCCAAAGGACCCTGAGTGCTCAGGGTCACCCAAAACGAATCTGAGGCCCTGCCCGCAAGTCGAAACCTGCGCGCAGGGACAAATTTGGGTTTTAAACTGAAATAATTTACTGATAGCAGAGCTTAGCCAAACAACACCAGACATGCGCAACTGACAAAGTGTTCTAGATTCTCACCGGGCAGACAGTTGTTGAACAGCACAGAGTTTTGCCGAAGCCACATGAGGCAGCGCCGCTCGCGTGTGTCGAGGTTGGGGGGCCACGATTCCACCTTGAACAGCCTCGTCCCGCCCATGCGACGAAGATCCGCCATCCGCTCGGTGAGATTATGGACGGTCTGCTTGGCGAATGCCTTGCACATCTTCTCGCAGTCGCGCATTGTTCCGCCAAACTTGTGGCCAGCGATGGGCGCCTCGCTTAGAACAATCTCCTGGCTCACTGCGCGGCCGTTGGAGTCCACGCCCTCCACTTTCAGCTCACGCTTGCCATCCTTGTGACGCTCCAGGAAAGGCGACAGCTGTGGGCTAAGGCCCTCCCCGAACTTCGTCTCGTAGTCGATGTAGCGGTGTTGGATGTACGACACCGTGCGGTCCACCTCCTGCGCCACGATTGTGACGTCCACCTGGGCGGAGGGCGGGAGGGTTTGAGATAATACAGCCAAACATAATAAGTTCACATTACAGAGTAAACAAACGTGTAAACCACCAGGCAAAAGTAGGAAACAGCGTCGAGATAATACTGCATAACATTACCTTTCGCCTCTGGAAAAACCGGTTCAGATTGTTGAGCTCGGCCAAGATGTCTGCCAGAAAATAAACGCAGAAGTGAAACTTCAACGTCTGCACGGTGCTGGCTATCTTGTGCTCGTACTCGATGAAGACGCAGATCGCCGCCCCAAGAACCCGGCACATCCGCAGCACTGCCTCGCCCTGTGCCAGCCAGCGCACGTTGTGGAGCCCCTGGTGCTCTAGATTGGTCTTGTGGTACACCTGCTGCAACTCCTTGAACCGCTCATACCAGGGAGTTGACTTCCCGACGATCGACCCGAGGGCCCTGATGGCGTCGTCCACGATGTTGAAGTCTGGATAGGCCTCTGCTGCATTCTTGACAGCTAACGCTTCTCTGCACGGTAGGGAACAGGGGGTTGCAGAGTAGGATATGTAAACCACAAAAAGAAAATCACATAGACTCAGAGAGATGTTTTACCGTGTTAAAATACCAAAAACATTTTGGAATAATAACACACCTGTGCGCGATGCAGTGGCACCCGACGAGATGCGCAATCTGCATGCGAAGGCGCGTCACAAGCCCAGTTTCCGATCCGACCATGACAGAGGCGCCGTCTGTTGACATCCCAACAATTTTCTGAAGGTCGATGCCGATGGTCTCCAGATGTTGGAGCAGAACGGCATGCAGCGACGCCGCGTCACATTGAGTGACGGTAAGGAGCGTCAAGAACTCCGTTACCACCACGCGGTCCTTCAGGAAAGTGACAAACACAATCATGTGTTTGCCACGAGCGCGGTCTGTGCTCTCGTCGCACATGATGCCAACGTATGGCGACGAGTGCACGTGTCGCATTTTCTCGCGGTGAAGGAAAGTGGTTAAAGCCTTTACCATTTCCGAAAAGCCGTACCTGGCCACAACCAACGGTTCGTTGTTAGTGCATATTGAAAAAAAAAAGGAAAATCAAGGAGTACGGGGTTCAACATCAAGTGAGACTCACTGTGTGATGTACACGCCGTAAGACTGTCGCGGTATGTCGGCGACGCCCTCCTCAGCAAGAAACTGCACGAGCCTGGGGTACATCTGAATCGGTGTGTCCGTCTTGCACACAAACACGATGCTCCGCATTAGCCGCGAAATCCGCGCGCCCTCCGGATCGCCCTTCGCTAAGTCATCGATGCGTTTCTGCTCCTCGATGTTCTTCATCAGACCCATTTGCTTCTTCATGGCATCGTCGTGCTTCACGCTCTCCTCGTGCCAGCGAAAGGACCCAATCTGGAGGTCCCGACCTCCTTTCCCATTGCGGTCGTAGCGAGCATCGTCCTTCCCGTGCTCTATACAGACACTGCAGCGAACACAAGGGAAACCGTCAGTCGATTTATCAAGGATTAACCATGGGAACCGCGGAAGCCATTCCGACGTGTAGCTTTTCTGGGCCTTCAAATACAACTTCTCCTTCTTCTCCTCTGCGGTGAGTCGGACTACAGGTGTTGTTTTCTTGGCAGGTGGCGGCGGAGTCGGTGCAGGCTTAACGGGCTGCAGACCAATCCTGAGCACGGACTGCGTGAAGGGCCGCTTCTTCGGCGTCTGTGAGGCGGTCGAGTCTGGAACAGACGCATCCACGACCTGTGTTGGTGCTGTCTCGGCCGGTTCAGCGATGCTTGGGTGGTGCGATCCATCGCACACCTCGTTCTGTCCGTCGTGGTCTTCATCTTCTTGGCGTGGCGAGCGAACCCACACCTCGACCCCATCGGAATGCTCGTCGTCGTCCGGTCCATCCCGACGATACCAATCGTCGCCTCCCCAGTAGTCACCACCGCCATCTTGCTGGTCGCCGGCGTGCTCGTGGGAACGATGTACCCTGCGCAGAAACTCCATACCTGTGATGGGGCGAGAGCTGCATGACGGGCCGGGATCAGGATCAGACGCAGCAGTGTCAGCGTGGTCTGCGTCGTTAGCCATCTGTGGCAAGGCTGCAGGAGAAGGGTGGCTTGAGGCGTGGTAGTGATGCTGGGTACCTTAAGCCTGATCACGGATTGTGGAAATGGATGGAGAAACACGGGTTCACCCCCCGGTGAGCCAGCCGAGCACTAGCAGGGCTTGGCCGCGTCGCCCACGTTTACACCTTCCGTGCGCTGTATCATTCCTTGATCCTGACTGAAGTTCAGATGTGTAACAGTGTGCGCTGGCTGGGAAAACTGCCACTCCAGCCAATCAGCTCGCAAAATACCGCCAACAGACGAAGCGAATCTTGATGAAGTGCTCGGCGACTCGGTTTAACCCCGGTAATTGGGGAAAGGGGGGGGGGGGGGGGGGGGGGGGGGGGCTAGGGGGCCTGTATCCTCTGTACAGAGTAAACACCATCCTTAGAAAAAAAAACCCTGGGGCCTCAGAGTGAACTATATCTCAACTCGGATACATCAGAGAAAACACAACTCCCAAAATCATAACCCAGCAGGTACAGAGTCCCTCTAAAAAACAACTCTGATTTTCAGAGAAACAGAGTGATTTACTCTGATAACGTGGGCCCTGGTCGCTCCTAGCCCGCTATTTGTGACCCGTTGTTCCTAGCCCGCCATTCCTAGCCCGTTGATCCTAACCCGTCATCCTAGCTCATCGTGTCAAAATGGTAAATATGTTTGTAGGCTGTAGTGAGACACCCTCTACGGGGTATGGCCCTTTCGAGGTTAGGTACTTGTACCAGATTTCTGTCAATGCAATTCATTCCATTTTGGTTTCAGTGCAGGTCCCGATGTAGGACCTTTTTTAATAAGGCCCGCCGTTATCGCTGCCCCAGGTGCTGCTGCCGTTGCGCGCTGCCCTTCCCTCCCTGCCCCGCACTGTCGTGCTGCCCTGCCCTGCACTCGCGACGTGCCCTTCACTGTGTCAAGATAGTAGATTAGGAGTGGGTTTAGGATCCATGGCTATAGGAACGAGAGAAGCGAGAGAGAAGTGTCACCAACAAAAGAGGCGGTTCATTATGGAGCGAACAGTACAAATAGGCAAGAAACAAGAATGGTGCACCACCAACAGTTTATGATAGCTACACTAAACTACAGCTACAGGCAGTTACATATATATTCCAACACTCCCCCATAACTGCCTGCAGGAGGAGTTTGTGCAGCGATTTCTCCTGGATGGGTACACCAAGGAAAGCAGCTGTAGGCAAGAGCAGTGACAACCGGTGCAGTGGTGGCAGATTCAGCTGCAACAACCCCTCAGCCAAGATAGAAGCAAGCAATAGAAGAAGGTTCATGTGGCGGCAGGACGCCTGAAGAGCGGGTGCGTGCGGCGGCAACGTGCGGCGGCACAGCAGGGCTCAACGGCAACACCTGCCGCTCAACAGCAGCAGACGACAGACGAAACAGACGAAACAGTGGGTGGCAGCACGGGCTGCAGCTGGAGGTGCCACGGTGGGCGGCAGCAGCAGATGCCCAGCTGACTTCCGCCACCCTCTCTTACCCTCCCCGCCACAGCTGCAACCACTGCAGTGAGGGAGAGCGAAGGGCGGACGGCTGTTGGTGCGGCAAAATCTCTCTCGCCACCCCCTCACACTCCCCTCCTTCACCTCCAAGCTCCCCTCTCCACACCAGCAGGTTCATCTTCCACTCACACCCTCCCCCCCCCCCCCCCCCCCCCCCTGCTGCACGTGCAGCCGTGAGAGAGAAAGGAGGGGCGGCAGCTGGTTGCTCACGGGCAAGGCGCAGGGCGCGACGGGTAGGCGCAGGGCGCGAGTGATAGGGCGCAGGGCGCAGAGCGCGAGGGGACGGGGCGTGCAGGGCGCGACGCGACGGGCAGGGCAGGACGGACGGGACGGACGGGACTGCAGTGGGGTAGTGCGCGGGCGACGGGCTGCAATAAGGAAGCGCCCATGAGGCGTACTACGGGGTGCGCCATTGGGAAGCGGTGGGTCCATTAGAAAATGTGGTCCTTAGGAAATACCCGCTCTATACATGTCAAGATAGTAAATTAGGAGTGGGTTTAGGAGCCATGGCTATAGGAACGAGAGAAGCGAGAGAGAAGTGTCAACAACAAAAGAGGC